AGAAAAGCAGTTTCAGGTCTACAAGTGTTCTTAAGTTTGAAGAGCTAGACTCCACTTCTAATCAAACCGTGATGTAGGGCTGCAACTAACGATTATTTTAATAATCGATTAATCTGTCGATTATTTTTCCGATTAATCGATGAATCGGATTTAAAAAAAAAATGCATTAATTTCCAATCCTTTATTAAAAAACAGAACTGACAGTGCAAATTCACCGTGAAAAAAAAATCCAGTGCAAAAAAATGGACTAACAAAAAACATACACATGTATGCTTTACATCTGCCAAATAATATATATAGGCTTTTTAAAAATAAAGTGAGCTGCTGTCAGAACAATAAATAATTGATAAAAAAATAAAGAAAAATACAAATTAGAAAACTTAACAGGATTTGTTTGAACGTCAGAACTTGTTCTCTAGACCACACTAGCACACACTCACAAAGTCTCACACTCACAGATGCACACACTCACAAACTTGTGTTTTGTTTTTGTCAAAGATGTTATAATCTTTAACAAAATGTTTGACATTTTTTAACAAGCAAATGCACCTATTATCATATTACCTATAATAGGTAGCCTAATAATAATAGCAATAATTATAAGAGAAGATAATATCTCTAGTCTATCCTAATATTAATTATAAATACAATGTATATAAAATATAAATACAATATTAAATAATATTTAAAAAAAAAAAAAAATTCAGGGCTCCCTTGTAAAAGAGATTTGAATATCTCAATGGGACATCACCTGGTAAAGTAAGGGGGGGAAAAAACAAATACAATGGATTGACCATCTCCTATGGTGTGTAAGGTATTTTGCAGCTCATCCTTTCTGAGCATAGTGTTTCTCTGAGTCATTAGAGTAAAGATTGAAAAATTCAGTGCTGCAAATTGTGGAAAAAATATTCCCCTGCTCTTGTAGTGGTAGGCTATTTGGACAGACAAGAAAGTGTTTTCATCGTCTGCCTATCTGATTTAAATCAGAGTCTGCTAATTCAGTGGTAAGAATTTAATTGTTGTTTTTATTTATATCTTATATAGTAGGCCTACCAGTAATATATATTACTATGTAGTATGTACCAAATTACTAATGCTCAGACACACTCGGTCTCTCTTTCTCGGACACACTCGGTCTCTCTCGCGCGCGCGCGATCTCCGGTCTCTCTCGCGCTCAACTCCAATTTTTTTTATACTCAAAAATTTCCGCGTCACAACGAAACGATGTAATTCGTTGCCAACTCTTTCAGAAATCGATTTTAATCGATTTAATCGATTCGTTGTTGCAGCCCTACCGTGATGCCATCTCCTCTTCTGCCCTAACCTTTACTCCTCAGTTCTAGTGCACGATTCATTCGGCTCATTTAAAAGTATTTACATTTTACACTGTATTGTATATTGTTTTGTGTGTGTGCTTGCGTCTGCCTAGAACTTTAGTAAAACTGTTGTCTGATTAGTGCAAAGATCCTTGACCCGCATGAGAAACGGGAGTCACTTCCTGCATATGGAGAAGTCCCGTAACAGCTGATGCTCTCCAGACCTTCCGGCCTGAATGGAGGCTCTACAGCTGAGGACTGTGAATGACCTGTCTCGTGGACATTTTTCATTTTTGTTTTGCCGTTTTTATTGAATGCTAGACATTTATGTTTAGATATGTTTTGTCCTTTTTAGATTTATCAGAATGTCTTTGTTGGTTTTGTTTTGGCATGTTTTTATTTATGTTCTGGCTGGATACTAAATCCTGAAATGTGTAGTTAGCTATTGCACCTTTATATAGAAAAAAAAACTCAAGTACTTTGAGATATGGAGGTGGAAGTCCATATGACCAGATCTCAACATCGAGCCTTTAGAAGCAGTTTGAATACAGAGGAAAGCGTCCTAGTGTTAATGATTGTTTTTCTTAACTTAGTTTTTGTATATTATCATAATATTATCATTCTGCAGAAAGGGAACATCTCTAGGGGTCTATGTTTGCATAATAAAAGGTGTCTTGTCTTGTAAAATCGGCTTATATTCCTAGGAGTATATGTAAAAAATTTTCTGGTGTCATTATGGAGCCCCACAACATAATCTTTAGATGATGATGCAGCTGCTTTGCAAAATGGATTACTGAGCAGAGAAATTGGTGTATGGCTTTATAGTTATAGTTCATAGTTTGTCTTGTTGTTGGATGTAATTGACCGTTCGCAAAGACCCGCCCCCTTTAGTTACTGTTGCTATGTCCGACAAGCATCGCCGCTCTCGCGCCCCACCATGTTCTCACGCAGTCAAAAATACATTGCGGAGCAGAGAGGACACTGACAACGCGCTGACAGACAGGACAGACCAGGTTACTTATGATATGAAACAGTCTCAACTTTCAAATTTGGTAATTTTTTAAAAGAAATTTACACAATAAATTCCGTTTTGTGGCTAATGTGTGTGACAGATCGCTGTAGAGCTTCAGTTAAAGCTGCTTGTGAACCGATCATCTCTTCCTTCTAGTTCATTTATAGCATCAAATAAACATGAATGAACATAAAAAAGAATGTTGTTTTAACCGCGGAAAGACGTCAGTATACTCCGTTTTTCAAGTGCAAATCCTCCAATGTTAATCTACTAACTCTCCTGACTGCTTTGTCGGACAAAAATGGCGGATGGCGGATAATGATTGGTCAGATCGGCTGTCAATCAAACTCTCTGGTCTGTATGGTCCTGTATTGGTCATTGTCAAAAGTTACTGCAGTGTTGAATTGCAGCTAAGATTTTGTCATAATTATGTACTTTATTTTTTTTTTCAACCCTGCTCCTGAAGGAAGCCCAACACTGCACATTTTCTTTTGTCTCCCTAATCAAACACACCTGGTTATAAACTCGTCAGCTCATTAGAAGAAACTCCAGGACCTGAAATGGGTGTCAGAAAGACTTCTAAAAAAATTCAATGTTGGGGTCCTCCAGGACCAGGGTTAAGAAACGCTGCTTTAGATCATGAGGACTAGGGATGTGCCCAAAGCCTAAACTGAATCTGGAAAGGCACAGAAAATGGAAAGAAAAAAAAAACATTATACAGAGCCCTTAAAGGCACATTGTTAAGCTTGCTGTGGTTGTTGGTTGCATTACAGTACATCATATTTCACTTGTCATGTGAAGATAGTAAGGAGAGATGACTGACAGGACGATGTCGGAGGATTTGGTGCACAACAGATCCTGAGCGTCATTGATAAATATCTTGTATTGTAAAATGTGTGGTCAGTACTCCTCTCCCTATACACAGTGTATGCATGATCGCGAATTAGAAAGTGAAAGTAAAAAGCGAGCGTGCATTCAAAAGCGATTTTCAATACCCTGTGTGTATTGATAGTGGCTCTCTGATGCCCGCAAATTATATACAGTTTAATTACCCGACTATATAATTGTGAGGGAACACAAACATTGGAATATATTTTTTCCTCCCATCTCAATTTTTTTACCATCACCATGTCCTTTCAGGGGCTCCATAGAGTGCATAATTTCCTTTCCGAACATTCTGGTTCGGGCACATCCCTGATGAGGAAGTCGGAGGCAGAACACATTTCTCTGAATTAGAACATTTCAAGCCGCTGGCATTTGATGGCCTGAAACCGTAACTATTTCAGTGACTGGTTTGTTTGGGTATTGTGGACAAATTTGGCCTCATTCACACATACAAGTCTGGTTTCACAAACAGGGTTTAGATTAACCCAGGATTAGGCCTTAGTTAAATTAGGATATTTAAGTAGCTTTTATAAACATGCCTTAGAAAAAAAAACATTACAGATGTGCATCTTGAGACAAAACAATGGCACTGGCATATTTTAAGATAGATCAATGCAAGTTGCTTTCAGTTAAAACCGCTCAAACATGCATTTTAGTCTGGGACTAGTTTAAGCGTTGTCTGTGAAACCAGGGGACAGTGATATTTAATGCTGCAGGTCACCAAGTGGCTGAATTTTTTGTGTTCAATTTAAAGGAGCTGTATGTAAGATTGTGGCCAAAACTAGTACTGCAATCACTTTCAAATTACTGTAGAGTGGTGTATCCCCTCCCCCTCCTCCCTGACTCGAGGTTGCCAGATCGGCTGCAGGATCCAGCAGGAACGTGACGAGCTGCAGCTGTGGTAACTAGAGCAGAGCTGGCAACCCGGATGCCGCAACACTACTGACTTCGTGATTGGTAGACAGGTGGAGGGTGGAGCATCAGACCAAAACACAACATGACAACATCAACATCAGTTGAGGGCTGCAACTGCACTTTTTAAATGACAATATCCTGGCCAGACTACTGTTGTCAGTGATATAAGTATTTGAAATGTACATGATTTCTTAATGTCTAGTGACATTTCAGGGCCATTTTATGATTAATTGAAATAAATTTCTTACATACAGCTCCTTTAATGAGTTGTCTGACCATACATTTAATACTAACTTCTTTTTTTTTTATAGTTTATTTATTTATTTATTTATTTAATCATTTCCTGAATAGTACAGTAACCTAAAAATAACTCCTGAGATCTATAATCTAATGTCAGCGCATTGCTATTGCGACTTACCTATGATGACATGACAACTGAGCTCGGGCGTTTCACTCACGTTGGATGCGTCACATTTGCAAAGGAATTTAAATTTATGATTTTTTATTAAACAGTACGATAAAATAAAATAAAATTATTAACCGGTCTTGGTAATTTCGTTACGATTAAATTCGTTTTTTTTTGTTTTGTTTGTTCTGTTTTTTTTTTTTTTTCTGTTTTTGTTCCTTGAACCAGTCCAGAGCCCTGGTGTAGGGTACTGTATGAACAATATTGAAATGTGTATGATGGCACTTCTTCAAAATAGGGCTGGTATTGCATTCTTGACTGTGCCACAAATAAATTGGGATGGTTGGCATTTATGGGCATTAAGGATTAGGGCAGATTAGGGTACCAAAATAATAACACTATGTAGACTTGAATCTATAGAGCTTTCCATCTATGCTCATCTTCTCTCTTCCCTTTCTTTCGCCAGCGCTGTCTTGTGAAACTAAAACATGGGGAAGCAGAACAGCAAGCTCCGCCCTGAGGTGATGCAGGACCTGCTGGAGAGCACAGACTTTACGGAGCATGAGATCCAGGAATGGTACAAAGGCTTTCTACGGGACTGTCCCAGTGGCAACCTCTCCATGGAGGAATTTAAGAAAATCTACGGAAACTTCTTCCCTTATGGAGACGCCTCAAAGTTTGCTGAGCATGTGTTCCGTACTTTTGACGCGAATGGCGACGGCACAATAGACTTCCGGGAGTTCATAATTGCATTGAGTGTCACGTCACGAGGGAAGCTGGAACAAAAGCTCAAGTGGGCGTTTAGCATGTATGATTTGGATGGAAACGGATACATCAGCAAGTCGGAGATGCTTGAGATTGTGCAGGTATGTCAGGCTACCTAAAGCTTTTAAGATTTTACCTTAATGTTGGCACTGTTTAAAAGCTTTTTTTCATCATCTGAAATAGAATCAGATATCGCTTAAGGAGACACAAAGGAGAACCCAACTGAGTCCTGCTATACCCAATTTTCACATCGCATATGTTGTTGTTTCTCACTTGCAGAATGTAGTGCGTTAGCAGCAAGGATAGCCGTGGTGTTAGACTGTCAGGAAGCTCCATACTGTAAAGAAAGCCTGAGTCTTATTTCTGTCTCTGATAAACAAGCTTTCATCAAACTGCACTTCTTCACATGGTTATGTTTGCTGTTAATGCAATTGGCCTGATTTATATTTGATTTCTGCAAGTTATTGCTCAGATCTGCCCTGTTGAAACCAAACCAAGTTTGAGGATTTATAACTCGTACTTTACACTTGTACCATGACATTTTACTATTAACTAGAAAAAAGGAGAAATGTTACACACAAATGATATTAAAATAACACTAATAAGGTTTAGTTGACACATTTCATATAACTTGTAACGTGTAAAAATGTTATTTACTTCTGTTTTGGTGGTTATAAAGGATGCGATTTGAGAACATCTCTCATATCTTGATGGCATTTTTATTTTGATGCATGGTTCACTTCCTCGCCTGGAAGGCTGATGTAAATCTAATGATATGCTGAATGTCTTGTCCTCTTTTAATAATGTATAGCCAGGTAGTGTGTTAAAAAGGAGCACACAGGCTGCAGATCTGCCCATCTGTAGAGTGAAGACTCAATAACTTCACAAGAGAGCTGTGCTTTACAGCACACACTTTTTTTTCCTCAGATGTTAAGGTTATTAATAAAAGTATATATTGCAGATGGAAAAGGCCTTTAATAATTCATTAATCTCTCGTTCTGCTCAGCAGCCGTGGCAGTTGAGGTAGGATTGTAGAGAGAACTCAAAAGATGAGGAAAAAACACAAGATACGTAGTGATGATAGTGACCATTCATACTAGGGATGTGCTATACTGCATATTTTTTTAAATAAACTAGTCTTTGCATTCAAAAACCATAATCAACATTAACCCTCTGAGGTGTTTTCTGGGTTTTATTTTGACATGCCCTGTTTTTGTGCAGGATTTTTCCTGCTGGCCCAGTTGCTTGCTTGCTTGATTTGGTATTTTCATTGGATTAATCATAATTATATTTTACATAAATGATTATTTATGCTAGTAAAGTCTACAAGAAGATTTCCAAAACGCTAAAAGTTCCTAGACAGACAGTTTGACAGCCTTATCCATGAGTTTAAAATTTGTTGTACCAAAAAACCATTGAGGGTTTTGAAGAAAAAGCACTTGCAAGAGACTTGCAAGATGATCCAATGAAAATAGGAGAGAAAAAAAAAAACATTTCAATGCAGAGTATAAGAAGAACACTAGACAAGGCCTTCATGTTGGGACATCTTGCCGAATTCCACAATTGACAAAGAAGAACATAAAAGGCAGGCTTGAATATGCTAAAATTAATTTGGATTGACCTGTGGATTTCTGGAAGAATGTTTTATGGAGTGATATGACCCATGGATCAGCGGTATATCGGGTGCAAACAAGGCAACGCTGACGAGCAGAAGAACATCATCTTTATGGTCAAACATTGAGGTGGTCCAGTCTTGTTATGGGGAAGGGGAAATCTTGACTGTATGAATTACGTCATGAATTCTTTGAAGTATCAAGCCATTTTGGCAGCAATGGTGATTCCTTCGGTGCAGAGACTGAAGCTTGATGATCAATGGACTTTCCTGCAGAACATCCCAAACTATACATCCAAATCTAGTTAAACTTGGTTAAGGGATCAGTCGTTCTTGAGTGGCCTGACAGTCTGCAGATTTAAATCTCATTGAAAATATCTGGTGGCATTTGAAGAAAGCAGTGGTAACGTGATGACCAAAGATTATCAGTGATCTGGTAGGAATGACCCACGATTGCAGTAGAGAGGTCACATGATCCTTCAGAAATCATTCTAATATGCTGATTTAATGCTCAAAAAACATTCATTGTTGTTATCAATGTTGAAAACAGTTGAACTTTGATGAATAGAAAGTTCAAAAGAACAGCATTTATCTGAAATAGAAAGCTTTTGTAACATCATACACTACTGTTCAAAAGGTTGGGGTCAGTAAGAATGTTTTTGTCAGATAATCTATTTCCTATAAAGCTACTTTGGAGCAGGATTTATTTTGAAAAGTTCTATACAATTATATTGTACTTGAACATTTTCAGTTGAGTACCTGTTGACTTCCTTGAAGATCATCATACTGGACATGTTTCTAAATGATCTTTATGCATGCCCCACATTAGCTGTCAGTAGATTCTGTGTCCGCTGCAGTCAGTCATGTGCTGATTATTCTCTCTCATCTATGCCTGCGTAGTCAGTACTGTTAGTGCACTAGGTCTTGTTCTAACTTTCATACTCTTAATCATTTGATAGTAAAGTCTGTTTAGTGTTGATTTGAACAGGAGCTATTATAGGGGAGTAACATCTGTTAAGGGTTAGTTCACCCAAAAATGAAAATTATCCCATTAATTGGTACCTTGAATGGTACTTTGATTTTGAAGCCCAAAAAAGTGTATCATAAAAGTAATCCATACGACTCCAGGGGGTTAATAAAGGAAGAGTGACCTGACGTATCGACGAGGATAGAGCAAAACAAAACACCGGTCACGAATTAGAAGTCTAAAACGAGAATTTTTAAAGAGAATGTCGGAGGAGCTTGAGTTTGTTTCCCAGCCCTGTTTGTTTAAACCGCGAGAGGCGTCTAATCTCACCTAAGCTTACGCTATGCCTACGTCATGCGTCGGGTCAGAGGTCACTCTTCCACCAGAACTAGACTCGCTTACGGCCATTACCGGAAGCTAGTGAATGTAGTTTATGAAGTTATAAATATGGATATTTTTCTTACAAAAACGCATTGCTTCGCTTCAATAACCCTCTGGAGATGGGATCATTTTTCATTTTTGGGTGAACTATCCCTTTAAGGCTTTCCACCTCGTTATAGTGATTCATTGTGGTGTCTGACTTGCACCATTGAAATTTCACATTTTATATAGTTGGGGTATGATAATGCTGATGATTGTAGCATTAATATATGAGATTAGATTACTGTATTTTGTGATGTGATAATATTTTTTGATAGAGGGAATCTCTTGTGTATTGTGTCTCCCACAGGCGATTTATAAGATGGTGTCATCAGTGATGAAGATGCCAGAGGATGAGTCCACACCTGAGAAGAGAACAGAGAAGATCTTCAGACAAATGGACACCAACCGAGATGGTAACTCTTTTTTTCCCCTTTTTCATGAAACTTATTTGGCAGTGGTTTATGAAAAATTACATGGGTGGTCTTTGAAAATTCTTAATGTCGGTTAACCAGTTAATTATGAGCATCCCTAGTCCATACTCCATACAGTAGCTCATTAATTAGCTAGAAAAAAAAGCTCTAAAGAGGAGCATTTTGCTAATTATTTGCACTATATTAGATATTCATTATATTTGTACTTAACCTGTATAAATAATTTTTTCATTATTTAATGTATGTTTGAATAAATCTTTTAAGATCAGTTTTATTACACCCAACATTTAAATGTTTAGAATTCAAAAAACAAATAAGCAACATAATATATCATTAAAAAGTTGATATAAAAACAACTCAGTGTTGAGTGTTGATTGAATTTGATTTCTGTTTTTCGGTTTCGGTAAAAATACATTTTGGTGAGTCACTATGTGAAATGTTACAATTTCCTGTTTTTTTTTTGTTTTTTGTTTTTTTATTATATTTTTTACATATTCTGCCACTATGCTTTCTCTGTGTAAAGTCTCTAACTTATTTAAATGCATCATGATTGAGTGATTTGAAGAGCCCCATTAGCTGTTAAACAAGGCTTCGGACTGTCTACGTGCGTGTGCATGAAATTGATGATCAACAAGCAAACAGATGGGAGTATACAGAAAAGAGTGGAAAGAGTGGTCAGATGATCTTTTGCGTTTCCTGCTCTCTCGTGACCAGAGTCTCATGGGACGGAGACTGTGTGTGTATTTGTGTATCTGTGGGCAGTTGTTTGCGGAAGCGTGGTCTCACTCGGACAGATACTTTATTGATCACAGGGAGGAAATTGAAGAACATAGGACCATGTTCATTTGTAGTGGTGTTTTTATCAAAATAAACCATGCATGAACTACAAGGACATGAGCCATATGCTAATGTTATCACATACGTGTTTGAGAGGACCTGTTCTGTACTATTTCATCACTCCTCACTGGGGTAACAGTGTCCGCATGCGTCCTTTGATTCTTAGCATTCCTTCGCCACCTCTCACTTTTGAATGCTGAGAGTCGGCGGCGCCCCCTGCTGGCCGATGCTGCACATGGCACTTTTGGGGAACTTCAGTCACTACATGTTTTTAGGGATGTCCCTATATTTAAAATCTGTCCCAGAGCAAATAACCCATCATATTATATCCAATATTACAATTTGACTATTTTTCTTGAAATAAAATGAAAACTAAAATAAATATTTTTTTTATTATATACACATTTTAAATCCAAGTCAAATTCTAATAAACAGTTTGAAATGAATATTGATTTTGAGATTAAGATGAAAGATTACATTACCTTATAATGCGAATGTTTCTTTGTTTTTTGACTGTCAAAATGGAGACTATATCCTGCCCTTTTTTAAACCCAAAGACCTGAAGGCTTATTAGATTTAATAGAAAAGCTAAAACCTCTTCCATTATTTCCATAACACATTTTTCTCTAGACATATTTTTACAGGTTGATTTCAGATTCTGACACAACGAGCCGGATATCGGAAAGCCAGCCATAATTTTTCCATTGTAAATAATATGATTTTCTAAGCCTGTGTCCTCTCCTGTTTTATTCTAGGAAAACTGTCTCTGGAGGAGTTCATCAAAGGGGCGAAGAGTGACCCATCCATCGTGCGTCTGCTACAGTGTGACCCCAGCAGTGCAGGACAGTTCTGAGAGCAGCCTCATGCTTCGACCTTTTATTTATTTATGGGTTTTAATTTAGTTTTTGATATAGTCGCAGGGAAGTGATGGCGGGTCAGGTGTTTTTTCCAGAGTAGGGCATCTGGGTCTCATCAGACTGAGCTTGGCCAGATCTAGTAACACACAGACACACACAGAGTTATTGGCTGTGCTATCTCTGCAAGAGGCCTGTGATGGAGTGAATCGGGGAACTAGAGCGTTCATCTGAGCTCCAATCACTTCCTTCCTGATTAGAATAGAGCTTTCAATGTCATGTAAAATACATAGTTTTATTTTCTCTGGGTATTAGATGCAACAGTTTAAGCGTGACCAAGACAGGGATTTAAGATGGGAAATAATTCATGCACCCAGTAGAAGAGAATATTTTGTTCCTAATTCTTTTCTTCTTCTTTTTTTTATGTATAAATCTGATGCCTGAATCATTGTTCAAACATGACAGCAGTGGCATCACTAGTTTTTGTTAAACACCTCAGCCTTAGTGATCTAAATATCGGGGAAGTTTTTAACTTTATTTAGATTAGATTATATAGTTTGGTTTCTCTCAACTCAACTTCTCTCAACTTTATTATTGGCAGATCACAGTATTATCCCATGGGACCAATAAATCAGGCATGTAGATTTTGTAATTGTACATGGAAGTTTCCTCGCGTTATGCTTCCGATCTGAAGAGCCTTATTAGTGCTGGAAGCGCACATTCGATTTAGTGTGGATTAGTCTGGTTTTGGTCGTACAGTCTACTGTTCGAATGACATGAATTGAACTGCGTACTCTTTTTCCAGTTTTCTAATGTTTGTACTCTAGTAACTGTAGGCCTGTATATAAATCTGAAGTATCAGACACGCATGCAAAACTGTACGCAAGAGTTCCATCTTAGGATGCAGCGATGGGTTTATTGACGTTTTTAGCAAAAGCATGTAACATCAAGTGTATCTGCATTTGTGGACAGGAGAGTATTTGTGTGATTTGTATGCACGTGTTGTGGTGAATATCAGTTACAGCCCTGTTCGCTCACCCTGGTTATAGGTGTCGTGATGCATCTTTTGCATTATCGCAGAACGTTTTTGTTACTGAACAAGAACTAAAGCTTTATTGGTTCAAAGCTTCTTTGATTTTTAGAATCACTTTTATCTTTATCTCTGGATTGTACACATGAGCATCAAGTTACTGAATTGCCTTAAACGCACTCAATGTTTCTGTGGGTGAGTGGTTTTTATATGGCTTTTTTTTTTTCTTTTAAATCAAGCTTAAGTTGCAGTAAATTTGCTTGCTTTTGAAATGATAATCCTTCACATGTTGGAGAGTTTAACTATGCTCTTCATTCACTATGAAGACTTTAACTATGCTTCCCATTCACCCCTTGAACAGATGTAATTATGTTGACAGCCTCTTACTGAATCACTCATTTCAAAATGACATGAAGTGTGTAAATGGTAATAGGACCCCATTGCTTTTCAAATGCCCCTTGCACTCATGTGGTACCTATACTCGTGTCCATTTCACTTGAATTCAACAGAAGGTAGAAAGCATTTATTCAGAACTCCTAATAGTTCCCATATCACCCTCTGTCGTGCTTTTAGTAATCATGCCGAAGCCACATAGATCCACACTCCTCCTCCTGCTCCTGCTGATGTCCAGTGTTCTTGGTGTCCCTGTGAACGTCAAATGCCTCACCGCAGTGCATTTGGTTCTGCTATACTGTTAATGAACATAATTGAATGTTTTTATCATTTTATTTTAATCTTTGAACAACTGCTGTTTTGTAAAAATATTGAAAAAAGAAAAGTGGCAGGTCAAAACTGCTCTATTTCATGTTCGATGCATATTTTATGTAGTTTTTCGTTCTTTTTTTGTTCTTTTTAAACATCTGACGTAACATTTCTGTATCACAATTATATCGTGGTCAGGTGCCAAAAATATGAATGCAGTATTGTATAAATTTATACTGTACAATTGTTATTTGTTAAACAAATTGTTTGTAATTGTTGCATTTTGTAGATTTTGTATGGTAATCTGTATTTTGTGACTGTAGATTTGAGACATAGAAATTTGTTTTGGTTATCATATTGAGCAGAAATTAAATCTGGAGAGAACGGAGTGTGTCTGAAGATTTTTCTTTTCTAAAAGCAAATAAATGCAATGGCAGCTACTAATAGAAGCTCCCCAAAAGTGGTTGAAATGTAGTAGTACCCACTTTGGCCACAAGATGACATAAAAGAAAAGGCTCCAAATAGAAACTTAAAGGGGTCTGTCTGGTGCTTCATTTATAGAACCTTTCAGGGCTTTTATGGATTAAGATTTAATTAGTTTGTTTTTATTTTCATTCAGTGTTATTAATTAAACTGCTCATACACATACTTTATCACTAGAAAACTAAATGTAAACCTGTTAAACGTGAAAGCATTATGCAATATTAAGACATTTCTCCTTATTTTTTTATTCTTAAATCGTTACATTTGATTCACCCTAATCCTTCTGTGGTTGCATTCTTAGGTTCAGTTAATAAAATCTAAACATAAATGGATGAAAAGCAAATAAACACTACAAATAATTTATTGATTTTGTATAGTTATGTATTCTAAAATATTCTTTTAATTAAAGTGACTAGGTATTGGTATTCCATTTGTCTCCACAAAATTGTCCGCTCCTAAAATAGCATTGACTTGATACTTTTGTTTGACACACATTTCAAATTCCATCACTTTTGAAAGTCTTTTATTCTTCCCAATGTTGTGAGTGCTGTTGCGACGTCCTGCCCAGCCCAGGGGCTTCAGCGAGGAAACATTACACATGTCTGAGAGACTCTATATCACTGTCTTTGTAGAGCTGGAAGATTAGATGGGGGATGAATCAAATCTGAAATGTCCACTACTTCCCACCACCATATATTAATGTGAAAGGGAATTGTTCTTTATTTAACTATGCGAAGGTATTCGTACCCCTTAGTTTTATTTTATTTTGTTGCTGCATTATGCTATTCTGCTCACTCCATACACTATAATTACAACAAAAAAAAAAGATTTGTTATAACTTTGCACATTTATTAAAAAATCAAAAACTGAAATTTAGCTCAGGAGCATTCTAATTTCGCTGGATCATCTTTGAGATGTTTCTACACTTCGAGTGGAGTTAACCTGTGGCAAATTCAATTTAAGGGCCATGATTTGGAAAGGTCAACTCTCAATAAAAGGTCTAACAGCTGAGAATGCATATCAGAGCAGAGCACAAACAAAGCCATTCAGCGGCAGGCCCTTTGGGAAAGAGAAATATAGAGATGTCCTTAATCAAAACCTGGTCCAGGTCCACCTTCCCACAGGACAATGACCCCAAGCACACAGATAAGACCATGCACAGGCTTAGGGACAACTCTGTGAACGTCCTTGAGTGGCCCAGTCGAAACATCTCTGGAGAAACCTGAACATGTCTGTCCACCGATGATCCCCATCCTATAACGGACAGAGCTTGAGAGGATCTGAGGAGAATTCAGATGTGCAAAGCTAAAGGTGCTTCAACTAAGTACTCAGATAAGGCTATAAATACTTATGCAACATAATTATTTCAGTTTCTTCTTTTTAATAATGTTGCAAAGTTGATATAAGTGTTTACAATAACAAATCTTTTTTTTTTTTTTTTTTTTTTGCTTTGTAAAGGGGTGAGGAGTGTAGATTGATGTGAAAAAAAAGTCATTTAAAGCTGCAACAAAACAAAATGGGGGGTATATGAATACTTTCACAAGGCAAATCCAGAAGAACTGTGACAACCTGTGAAGAGTTTTAGGCAGTTGTGTAAAAATGCAGTAAAGTGGGGATGCTTTAAAAAAATGTCTTAAATAGATTTTATGTATCAATTAACTTCAATTAACTTAAATCAATATTTGGTGTGACCACCCTTTGCGTTTAAAACAACTTGCACAGCTTTGAAGGTCGGTTTCCTCAAGCATCTTGGAGACGTTGCGCAAGTTCTACTGGATTTAGTCTGACTCCGTTTTTTTCTGTTTCTTCATGTAATCACAGACTGACTCAACTCAGTGTGGAGCAGAGACCGGCTGACTCCTTACAAAAACCTCACTGGATTATTAAACTAATGGTTAAAGGAATGTTTGGAAATGTAAACTATTTCCTACTGACACACTACAGCAAAAGATATGAGTAACTGGCATTTTTTGGGGTGAAAATACTAACATGCCTAAGACTTTTGCACAGTATAGAGTGAAAAATATTAAAAAAAAATTAGCCTTTGGCATTTACTTTTTTCCACATGGAGTGAGAGATTGATAGAGAACAGTAGCCTACCATATTAGTTTAGTATTTTTAGGAGGCACGAGTGTGCTGTTGTAAACTATCTGGTTTCTGTAGATTGGGACGGGCCTTGTTCCCATGCTCGGGCAACAGATGACATCATGTGAATCATGTGAGTCAGCAGGGTTAGTCCTGAATTGCTCGCTGATATTTTCCCATCAAATTGAATTTAATATGTTGTATATGCAAGTGACATAAAGCATGTACACCTCAAAAAGGTGGTGCGTGAGAAAGATTTTCTTCATTTGAATTATCTAACAATTAACAGACACACACACAATATGAGGATACTGCGTATAACGTTTTCAGAAGACAACTCTCTCCAGAAGTTGGACTGGACTGGCGCGACTGGTAAAATGTGTCGATTCAGTGTGTGTGTTTGTGATGTATAAACTACTGTCACATTTTGCTAACAAAGCAGAATCGTTACCTGTCAGACGGGTAGAAGCTGAAGCGTTTCTCCAGGTCAAAACAGGTTCTTTTTCTTTTCAGGCATGCCACACCTCCTGTGAAATGTCCCATGAAGTGTGATAAGGATTTTTTTTAAAGCAAATTAAACGGGGAAAAAAGCTTTTTAAAACAATGAAAAACAGACTGATAATATATGTATTTGTATAGCCTATGCCTCTCTCTCTAAATGTCTTCATGTTGGTGAAAATGTACTGAGGTGTCAGTTTCGGTTCCCATGACTGACAACAGTAGGTCATTAGTAGATTTCACCTTCTAGTCTTGTTGAAGCCTGCTCATCTGTGATCTGTCACGTACACAATTGCACTTAAATTATGACGACTGAGTTTCTTTAAATATATATGTATTTTTTTTTAAACATTTTATTGGTCTGCTGAGCCCAGGCCAGCCGCAAATCCCAGATCCCCCCTCGATCCAAGCAAAGAAGGAGCTGCACATTTGACTACTTTAAAACAGAGCCACGCCTGTTAGTCTAACAGACACTTTTATTTGCAGCCCTAACAAACAAATATCAGTCTGCTGGTCAACAATAGGTGTATTTGGTTAAGCTCAGACGGCTAAACATGAACAAACATTCCCCTTTCCCAACAAGAAGAGCTCGAAACATAAGTCATATTTCATTATACTCAGTTGGTTAAATTAAATATAGACAACTCTGCCATCTGCCAATGTTATGTAGGCTAAAGTACAGACCTAAAAATCTCGCTCCTTGCTGAGCTTCTCAAATCATTCATCTTTTTTTCACTCTATAAACAAAGCGTATTACCTACAGGTTTTTTTTTTACTAGTGGTTAAGCCAACATTTATAAAAATTTTCCATAAAAACGCCTATCGAGAAATTTGTCATTGCGCAATTAATGAAAAATTCCCACGAACAGAATGATTCTCTATTTCAGATGCATGTTTTTAACAGTGTAACGTGCAGGTAGGGGCCACGCCTTCTTTCTAATTTTCAGCCAATCACCGTGTCCGAATCAAAGCTGCTGCGTGAGGATTAGCTGGCTCGTCTCCTCCTCCAGGTAACGAGAGCTCACCTTTGCTTGCTCACAATAACAGTCACCTTGAGACTTGCCAGAATTAACACAATTTACCGCTTGATCCTGAATGTTTGGCTGTTCACCTTTGTGCGGAACAGACGGAGGATGCTGTAATGAGAGTCGGATGCGAGAAGTTGTTTGACCTGTAGTCCGAGTTTTCTTTCAGCCGTTCCCTGCGACTCACCTGCCGCATCTTCACCGACCTGAAAGTCCAGTTTCACTGTGGAAGCCCCGCACTGCACATGGCTCAGGAGGAGAAGTAAGTCGCCAAATGTAAACACTAATGCTATCTGTAAGAAATTGCTAACGTAATTAAATTATATAGCGACAAGTTTTTAGACTAGGAATGACGTGTTGTATTTTCATATGTGACGTCACGTTATCGTGACAGGTTGTTGTGTTTGATAAAATGCTACGTAAATTTGTCAAAGCTTGCTTTGATCAAGTGGTTATTTTATTACATTATCTAAAGGTAACCTAAAAGGAAAAAGGAAGAGGCACACAAATAGAACCCTGAGGAACTCCCACTAAATTGTATTATTATTATTATTATATCTGATAACAGATCACTCTAAATTTTCTGTAAAGCTGATTTGAAACAATATGTATTGTGAAAAGTGCTATACAAATAAATGTGAACTGAATTATTATTATTATTAATATGTTTAATTATATGAATATTTGTTTTTATTTACGTATTTAGATGATTACCAGTGTAAGGGGTTCCAAACTATATACACTGCAACAAGAAAGAACAAGTGTGACAGATTGATGGCTTTTCTTTTCCTTTTCCTCTTCTGTTTGTGTTTGTTTGCTGTAGAACAACTATAACGGTGGGCCCGGGCAGGTGGCTTATATTAGCTAACATCCTTGTACAGCCCCTCCCATGCAACCCTTCCTCACTGTAGTATCAATATCCAGCAGGATATAGTCCATTGTCCCACAGAAAAAAAAGCAGTTGTGTGGAAAATGTAAAAGGATAGTTCTGGGAATTTCAGTTGTATGCTCCAGCCCTTTGTAAAATTAATGAACCCTAAGGTTTAGAGAGTGGTGGTATTATTGGGATCAATCCTGTTGTCTATGCTTCAGATTGTTTGATGCATGTATATGTATAACTTCAATCTTGTGTGTGTATATCATCATACTCGTACCTAGACCCTTTTATGTGCCCTCTTTTTAAAATAGCGTGCCTGTATTTTACAGTAAGCGTCTGGTGGTGGTGGTTCCTAATGAGATGACCATTCCATCACGCCGTACCTTCACGAGTGAAGATGAGGCATGGAAATCTTACTTGGAGAATCCACTGACCGCTGCCACCAAGGCCATGATGAGCATTAATGGAGATGAGGATAGTGTGGCCGCCCTGGGAATCCTTTATGATTACTATAAGGTCAGAGGTCATCTGTAACACACTACAGTTAAGAAGGAAATGAATGTGCCGGTTAAGGGTGTAAATATTTGAAGACAGTGTGTTATTATACCCATCTCTTTTCCATTTAGGTTCCTAAAGAGAAGAGGCTCTTACCAGTACCCAGACTTCCAGAAGATCATGAAAAGAGGTCAGTCAATCACACAATTTGTTAAAGCTTGCTTTGATCAAGTGGTTCTTTTATCACATTACCTAAAAGTAACCTAAAAGGAAAAAGGAAGAGGCCCACGAATAGAACCCTGATGAACTCCCATTTATAAAATAAATGTGAATTAAATTATTATTAACATAACAATTTGAGTGAAAGATTGATCCTTGTTATCCTGCGTGATTTGGGCTTTGATAGTAGCCAGTAAATCATTTACTTGCATTTTGTTTATAGAATCTTCTTGAATATTTCTTCATTTTAGGCCTTTAATTTAATTCTTTATTTTAAAAAAAAGTCCATGTTCCGACTGGAATAATTTGAACTAACCCCTTTGATTTCTGACCTCTTTCTTTCAGTCGGATCGGTCAAGATGGTTTTGAATCCACAGAGAATCGTATTCATGTCCTGAAGTCACGTCCAGTCAACCTGTCCTTGAATACGGACATGCACAGTGCAGAAAGTAAACAAGACCTGTTTGATACCATGCCGGTTGAGGGGGGTGTTGTGGCCACTGTGAAGGCTGAGGTTTATCCTCAGTCATTCTCCAGCCATCACCAGCAGCAGGGGCTTCAGTATCAGCGCATGCACTACCATTCTTTACAGGTCTCAGCGAGCGCCAGCCACGACGGATACGCGAAGGATGAACAGTGTAGTACACCAGACAGTAGCACCTATGAGGACTCCTATCCTGAAGAGACTGTGGTGAGCTTTCTGCCAGTTAATGACTATCACTGGTAATGGTAGCCACAGGCCATTGCACATCTCAGCGATAATGTGTAATGCAGTTTAGAACAATCTGTTTCTTCGGTACGTTCACACGTCTGTCATATACTGTTTTTCAGAAGTACAGAGCGCCCACCACAGTAGGGGCTGAACATTTCGGCCAGGCACGTCCAGGGGTGTAAGTACAGCAACCCTTAATCTTTATTTACACTACCATTCAAAAATTCAACGTCTGTAAGATTTTTTTTAAATGTTTTCTTATGCTCAACAAGGATGCATTTATTGAATTAAAGTACAGTAAAAACAGTAATATTGTGAAATATTAATGCAAAACTGTTTCTATTTTAATATACTTTAAAATGTATTCATGTGATGCAAAGCTGAATTTTCGGCAGCATTACTCCAGTCTTCAGTGTCACATGATCCATTAGATTTGGTGATCAAGAAACATTTCTTATTATTGCCAATGTTGAAAATAGCGGTGCTGCTTAATAGTATTGTGACACTTTTTTAGGATTTTTTTAATGATTTGAAAGTTCAAAAGAACAATTATTTGCAATAAAATGATGCAACAACATAACATTGTAACAATGTAAAAGTCTATACTGTCACCTTTGATCAATTCAATGCAAATTTGATCACTTTTATTGCTGTCAAATCGATTAATCTTGATTAATCGCATCTGACATAAACGTTTGTTTACATAATATATGTGTATATGTATTATGTTTATATACAGTATATTATTATGTAAACACAAACTTTTATGTTAGATGCGATTAATCAAGATGAATTGATTTGACAGCACTAAAAAACAATTATTGAATCCATTTAAATTCTAAACTTAAATTATTTCTAGTTTTAAAAATTCTCTGTAAAAGTACATTTGAATCACAGTAATATGGATCTCTGTATTAGAGCCTCCAAATTCTGAGCCATGTCTCCGTATTTTATTAATTTTGTTAAATAGCAGTGGTCCTAAGATTCAAATTCAGGAACTGTTCCTCTGTAGACTCTCTTTTATTATTGATTTTTTCTAGTAAAACTGCTTGAAAAGAGGGATGCATCATTTAGACAACACTGATCATTATTGATGAATGATTATATATTAAATATTTATATGTTGAAGCCAATATATTGGCTAATATTAGATATATATCTACATGAGGCTGATTACAAAAAAGTGCCCACCTATAATGAAATAACAGCAGAAATCTTTCTTTTCCCACAATTATTTAACAAATATAAGCCTGCTACTATGTACAAAAATATGCAAGTGTGTGATGGAAAATGGGAAATGGAAGGTTCGATGATCATTTGTTTATGATTTATTGCCATAAATATATTGACTTTTATACTAATCAGACCCATACCATAAGCGATAATATTAAAAAAGTTACATTAGCATCTCTTTTCTTAATGAAGAATGTGAACCATATAGCATGTGAACTTCCCAAAATCTTTGTTGAATGCAGACTTGCTTACAAATATAGACAAACATATACATTTTTTTCCCAAAAACATTCTATTCACACAAAAGTGTTCCCATCCTCTCCTATAGAGACATGTTCCAGTACAATATAGAAGCGAGTCGTTCGGCCCGTGAGAAGGCAGGCGAGGGACCCATGATCTACCTGAACAAAGGCCAGTTCTACGGCATCACTCTCAGTGAGACCGGGGCCAACAAGGGCCTTCGTCACCCCATCAGTAAAGTGCGGGTGAGTTCTGCTATTACCATGACAAGCACTCTTAACCCTGCAGCGTATTTGATATGAAGGACCAGAAACATTGTAATGCAACTCTTGTCTCTCTCAGAGTGTAGTGATGGTGGTGTTCGGACAGGAGAAGTGTCGAGATGAGCAGCTCAAACACTGGAACTACTGGCACAGCCGTCAGCACACGGCCAAACAGAGAGTCCTTGACATAGGTGAGATTCTGCCTGATGTAGATCTTTTACTTATGTCTTAAAGTGCCCCTTATGCTATTTTAAAGGTTTATTTTGGTCTAATTTGGTTTAAAGGTCTAATTTTGTTTTGGAGGACAATGTTTACATTAGGGGTGTTGAATCTTGCTCCTGGAAGGCCACTGTCCTGCAGACTCAGAGTTCAGCTCCAACAGTCCAACCCCATTTAAACACACCTGAACCAGCTAATGAGTGTTGAGGGTAAGTTGGAGCAAAACTCTGCAGGACAGTGGCCCTCAGGACTGAGTTCGGACACCCCTGGTTTACATGCATCCAAGATCAAAAAACACAAACTTTCTCATAAGTCATAATATACATTGCAGCATCAGCTCTTTGCTCAGTGTCTAAAATGGTTCGTTTAAGGATTCAGTCTCTCTAAACTCCTCCTTTCGGAGAGCCTACTTTGCTCTGATTGGTCAGATGGCCCAGTCTTGTGATGGGTTTTACCGTATCAATTCCAGTCCAGTATTTATGTCCAGTACAAATATCTAAATATTCTTAAATCAAGATACTTGAGAAAAAAATGACTGAAGATAATAGTCTTGTTGTCTGAAAAATGTTAAGTGCAAAAAAATGTTGTGTTAAGCACAAAATTAAGTGCTTTATGCTTTAAACAAGAAAAAATATCTGCTAATGGGGTAAGAAAAATAAAGTTATTTTCCCTTTAAATTTAGTTTATTTTTCTTTCCCCATTAGCAGATATTTTTTTCTTGTTTTACACATAAAGTCACTTAATTTTGATAAAATTTTCAGACAACAAGACTATTATCTTCAGTCATTTTTTCTCAAGTATCTTGATTTAAGAATGTTTAGATATCATTTAGACTTCATACCTTAAAGGGATAGTAGACAGTTGACTGTAGCCATTGACTTCAATATTATTATTTTTTCCTACTATGGAAGTCGGCTACCAACATTCTTCAAAATATCTTAATTTGTGTTCAACAGTAGAAAGAAACTCATACAGGTTTGGAACAACATGAGGGTGAGTAAATTATGACGGAATTAAAAAAAAATTGGCTGAACTGTCCCTTTAAGTAATTTTGCTTCTCAACTTGATTTAAGGATGTTCAGATAGTTGTACTGAAACAAGACAGAAATACTGAGGAAGAAAATATTATTTTGCAGTGTTCCCAATAGTGATGACTGGATTTCACATGCAATGATTGGCAGAATAATGGTAAACATGACCGTGCCTTAAGAATGACAATACGCAGTGTTTCGGGGTGTGTCTTTGTATGTGTGACTCTACGTGTACATCTATTCTTTTTTCTCTTTTATGCTCTGGGATACCAGAGTCCCCTCCTTTTGTTCATCTTTTTTTCTTCCCAGTTCTACATTCACTTTATTTAAGGTGTATCCTAAAAAAAGGGTCTGCAACTTTAGCACAATGCTTAGGGCAAAGTATTCCATCATAACTCCCAGTTGGGAAGCATAAGGACAATGGGGGGGGGGGTCAGGTTTTTTTTGACACCTGGGGGGCACTGTGATGGTCTTCTCCGTGGCAGCTGGCAACCTGACGTGGTTTGGGAATGATTTTGGAAGAAAGAAACCCGATCTGCTGATCCTGATGTTGTCCTGATTTGAATAACAGTATCCAGGGATTTTTCATAGTGCCTGAGGCTGAAGATCAGGATTTGAATAGGAGCGTTAACCGTTTAGGAGGGGGGAGTCGAATCCTCAGACAAACGGGAGCTTGGGAAAGGGTCCTGCTCTTTTGTAAACGGAAGGCTTGAGTAACATCTGCCATATATTTAAGCGGAGTTATATTTACACAGCAGGCAGGTACCGTGTCATAGACATGAAGCGTGTAATAGAACGCCCGCGTCTGAGGTCAAAATTCATCTCGCTGTGTTTTTTTTCTTCTTTTGAATCTTTAAATGACTCTGAATTTAACCTGAAGTGCTCAAATTTGTTTGCAGCTTTGCATATTATATTCATATTTTACTCAGGGCAAAACATGAAAATGCTTTTCCCACATTTATCTGGTCTTCGTGTTGTTTGAAAATACAGTGGGGTGCAAAAGTCTTTGTGAAAAGTTAGCATTTTGCAATTAATATTATCAGCATAACTATTCGAGTTACAAGTTGAACTTGATAATTGGCATGAATTTGAGAATGTCTTTTATATAGGATTTGGTATTGTCCACCGAACAGCACTCAAGCTGGTAAAACCTGATGATCGTGTTCTCCTGCATGATTTGAGCTTGTGCTTCAATGAACTGGACTTTTGCACAAAGGAGTTCAAATGGTCACGACTTTGGTTAGAGACTTAATGTTGTGGAATAAAACTTGTTAATAATATAATGTAAAATAATATTAATTATTTCTTATTCATTTACATCATGTAATTTCTTGAATTAAAATAAAATGAGTACAATAAATTCAATGTTTTTAAATTTTAATTATCTAAATTATTACTATTATTTTAGTCATTTTATGTATTTGTACAAATAATTAATAATATTGTTGAAAATTAAGTGTCCCCCATATATAGTGTTGAACCCCACTATACACTGTTAAGGTCTTAAAGAAAGATATGATCAAAATATAACTAATATTATCTTTTCACTACTCCTCTTTCACCCCTCAGCTGACTATAAAGAGAGCTTTAACACCATTGGCAACATTGAGGAAATCTCATACAATGCTGTGTCCTTTACCTGGGATGTCAATGAAGAGGCAAAGGTGAGTTTTTACCTGGATGTTAAGTTCGCTATGTGTGGGTCAAGCTGAAGTTGTTTGCTAACAGCCGCTCAGCCTTCTCCTCCTCTTCCCTGCAGCGTCATATTCCCTGTCAGGAGGCTTTTTCCAGTGCTTAACAGGCTTCCTTTAAGTGCACTCTTAAGGGTGGAGGTCCACCCAGTGCTCATGGTCAATATTTGTCTTTTAAAATTGGCCTTTTGAAGTAGCCTTATAATGTAATGGCAATAGCCAATGGAAGACTTAATAGAAGAAGCCCTAATCTTTGGGAAAATGGTTTCTGGAAGTTTCCTAATTCAGATAATGTGTGAAGTTTGCAAAAACATAAACATTGTTATGCTTTACGTTTTAAGAGCCAACTGATGGTGATTTGATAGTAGCGTAGAAGGGTGTTAAGATTTCAGTGATATTTGCTCACATGCACCCACACGCACATTCACACAGAAAGACAGAGCCCACACTAGGGAGATTTGTCCGTGTAAGCGTTTGCTAACGGATTCCTGTCAGAATTGATCACGTGGCCCTGAGAAAGCAAGTGGTTCTCATAACATTGAACAACAAGCTCCTCTATGAAACAACAGCTACAGGCACAGACATGAAAGAACGGGAGACCGTCAGTGGGAAACTATTTTCACCTCGGGCTGAAAGATTCGCTAGCTTTCATCTTTCAACAGTCGTTTTTCCAGTGTCTCTTGATGTATTGGCATAAAACAGGTTACAGTTGGGAATATTTCAAATCAATTTTGTTTTGCTTACTATTTGAATAAACCACTGACAGGCACACAATGAATGAGTGGTTATGCGGTTTTGTTTAGAGTCGCAATTTAGAGATTTTATTTGAAGATTTAACATTCAACGGAGAAAATGTTTTATTCCATAATGAAGGTCACATCTGATGGAAGGTTTTCTCTGCAAAGAAGCTAGATTTGTTTGTTTTTTAGATTAAAGATAGACTAGTGCTAAAAAGATTTACTGGGAAGCAATCCCAAAATAGCTTTTTATTCAGGACGAGTCTATTAATCAGACAGTCTGTAAAGTGTGAAGCTGAGGTGTGTCATTTCACCACCTCTAACATGTTTCCCAGGAACTATGTCTGCCATTGGCCAAACCGATAGTGCCGCCCCCTAAAATGATGCCATTGGTTGGCATCATTTTAGGTTAAAGTGGTTAAAAATGCATTTTTTTGCATTCCATTGCACTGCTTTTTAAATGTTTTTTTTGTTTTTTTGTAAGTATGTGCAATGTGGGCATATTGACTAGCACTTCAGAAGAAGTTTTAAAAACATGCAGTGGAAAAACGCAATGTCTCGAGACACGTTTCTGCTGCATAGACAGGAACATAACACTCACAGATGTCCATCTAGCATATTTACAGAAGCATGTTTTCTAGTCTTGAAACGCAAAAACAGGTTCCATATGAACGGCCCCTTATTCCACTGTTTTCTAGTTTTTAAACGGAAAAACGCAAACATTCCCCTTACGGTTGAGCAGCTTGGTGTGGAAAAACTTCCCCCTGGCTCTCCTCTCATAAGATAATAAGACATGATTGCCTGACCATACTTGACATTTTCCAAGCTCAGAGATGCATGTTTTGTCAAGCTGATGTTTGCATGTATCTCATCTTCTTCTTCTTTTTTTCAGGTTTTCATTACGGTGAACTGTCTGAGCACGGATTTCTCCTCACAGAAGGGAGTCAAAGGTCTTCCGCTTATGATCCAGATTGACACCTACAGTTATAATAACAGGAGCAACAGACCCATCCACAGAGCCTGCTCGCAGATAAAGGTCTTCTGTGACAAGGTTGGTGCGGCATCTGTGTGACTGTCGGTCATATACCTGCATTTGAGTCACAGACCTCAATCGGTTCATTTGCACAAGTTATACAAAAGTACCTACAGTTACAGTGGCAATTTCCTGTGTTTGCCATTGCCATTTTCTGTAGTGGCTGTAACCACTACAACACTACATGTTAGTCAAGTAGAGTATTATTAAGTAGGTTTCATTTCTATTTGTACATTTTTTTCAATCTCTTTCTACTGTCTTTTCCTAAAGTGGTGGGAGTCGCTACTCCAAAAGCGGTGGGCTTTTGAGTGTATAATGAGGAATTATGACTTTATGATTCCAAATGCTTTATAACAAGATTGTAAACAGTATTTACACAGTTAACATGTACTACATTCTCACTTAGGTTTCATGAATTAATATACTTTTCATGGATTTGTTCATCTTGGTTAATTTAATTTATAAATATACTTTTGTACATTGTAATATCATGGTAGTTTTTTAGTGGTATTACATCACTTAATTTTAAATATTAAAATAATTAGTATGAGTAGAAATTACCCAAGATTTAAAAATGCTTTAAATTCACGTTAACTATTATGTAATCTTATTGTATACGCAGTCTTGATATATTCCCAACCAATCCTGAATTAACTTCTGTTCACTTAATAGTAAATAGTGGTGTCTTCACTTGTGACATTTTTCGGGTATTATTCTTATAACTATATTTGTGTATATACTCATAACAGTAAATTTCCTTTCAGAATCATCTTTGGCTGGTAGAAAGGAAAAATAAAATAAACAAAGAGCCTTATGTTGTGCAGAGTTGTGTTATAAAATGTTACTCTGCACAATGTAAGGGCCTTTGTTTATTTTATTTTTCCTTTCTACCAGCCAAAGATGATGACACACACATCTGACTGACAGATAAACCACACGCTCATGTTGTTAATGTTGTGGTTATTTCCGCAAACAGTTTGCTTCGCACATTCAGTTTAAAAGCAACACAAGTAAAAGAGGGCAAACTTGATCATATATTCACTGATCTGTGAACATTAATTTTACAATAGACTTCGTCTATTGCTTGGTCCATGCAATAAATGCATGTCCTTGAATGAGTGGGGTTTCTAGCATATTGGGTGGACAAAATTACAATTTAAAATCAGAATATGAGCATAGCTCACTTACATAATCGAAACTTTTGAGATACTGATTCAACACACTATTATTAAGCACCATTGAGTGGCAAAGTGCGTTTAACCCTTAACGCAATGATGGGCGCTGCCATGGTAGCAGTACCAGTAAAAAGCCAGCTCGCCCCTGTTGCTCGGATGGCCCTCAACAACAGTATGATAACACAAACTCATCTCTTCTGTACAGGGAGCTGAGCGAAAAATTCGGGATGAGGAGAAAAAGCAGCTCCGGAAGAAGGTCAAAGGTCAGACTGTCGGCCAGGGTCATGATGGTGAGAGTTCCGTCAATCAACCAAACATTTATTTATGCAATGTGGTGCGATTATCCTTAGATGCTGTATCCATGAATCATACATTTTGCTCTGAAAATGGATAAAATGCACTTCAGTCATATCAGCTCTCGGCATGACTGTAAATGTAATTATAGGTTTGGTCTTGGCAGACAGTCACAAACTTGCTGCTTTTGACTCGAGTCACTGGTTTTCATTCACCCTGTTAGGTAAGAGAGGAAGTTTCGCCACTTTATCTCAAAAGAGGCCAGATATTACACTTTTCAAAACTTTGTCGGACCTGGAGTCCCAGCCTGTCCTCTTCATCCCCGATGTCCATTTGAACAACCTCCAGAGAGCCGGTCAGGTGAGGAGGAATGATCAATGCAGTTCTTAAAGTGACAGTACTGAATTTTGGGGGGGTTGATGTGAAATACTCAGAAGTAATTATAATGACTTATAGGATATTTCGAAAGCACTGTCATTATGATGTAGAGCATGTGCAGTTTTAAGTCTCTATAATGTTTTCTCTTTGTTTATAGGTGTTCAGTTTTGGTGTTGAAGAAATAGAGAGTGATGGGTCAGTGTCATTACTGTGAATGTCCTCGTTTAATCTAATTGTATTGGTATTTAGGGATGCAAGATATGGCTTTACCATACTGGTTATCTGTAGATTTTTTTTTTTTAAATGTATGATTGTGGAGGATATTTATTTTCCCATTTTTAACTGTACATGATTAATTTTCCTGTTTTTAGATTTACCTTTGCTGTCATCTAACTTATCACTTAAATGTATTTAAAAAAACACTAATAGCAATGTAAAATGTAATCTTTAGCAACTCTTTGAATGAGTGTCTGTTTTTCATTCTGTACATTATAATGCTGTGATGCCTAAGTTTGCTTAATCGCTGATTTTAGTTGAACTGTTTTATTTTTTAATCTATTTAGGCAAAATATTTTCAAATTATTAGCCAGTTATTCGTTTTTGACGATAACATGAAAATAATTATCACCTTTTAATCTAATTTTTTGATGCATCACTATTAAGCTCGGCAAACATCAGACCAGTAGAATCAATCCAGTGTGTTTCAAATTTATCTTCATTTATTTCTTGCAGTAATAATTGTGACATTGAAAGGATTCATCACAGAAGTATAAGAATTATAGATTCATCTGTTTCTCATGCAGGCCGGCCATGAAAAGATCGTTCGCTCATCGGTCAGAGGACGATGTTTCTCCGCCCGTCAAATACTGCAGAGAGGACAAGAGAGGTATGAATTACTGCATGTGAGATGTACATGTCAAGGCAACAGAATATGTCCCATTCTTCTATATTAATGCTTTTTGATATTCATTTATATACATGCCTGCACATTATGTTTCTGCAGTCCTACTGTACGTAAGGAGAGAAGCTGATGAGGTTTTTGATGCACTGATGCTGAGGTCTCCAACACTGAAAAGTTTACTTGAGGCAGTAAGTTCAGTGTCACGCAGCACATGGGATTTACACTTTGTTTCTTAAAGGGATAGTTCACCAAAAAATTTCAATTCTGTCATCATTTACTCAGCCTCATGTTGTTCCAAACCTGTAGGACTTTTGTTCATCTTCAGGAACACAAACACACTGTGTAACACACGAGAATGAAGCTCATTGGTTCTTGCAGAAGCTCAAACGTGCTGCGTAACACGAGAATGAACCTCATTGGTTCTTGCAGAAGCTCAAACGTGCTGCGTAACACGAGAATGAAGCTCATTGGTTCTTGCAGAAGCTCAAACGTGCTGCGTAACACGAGAATGAAGCTCATTGGTTCTTGCAGAAGCTCAAACGTGCTGTGTAACATGAGAATGAATCTCATTGGTTCTTGCAGAAGCTCAAACGTGCTGCGTAACACGAGAATGAACCTCATTGGTTCTTGCAGAAGCTCAAACGTGTTGCGTAACACGAGAATGAACCTCATTGGTTCTTGCAGAAGCTCAAACGTGCTGTGTAACATGAGAATGAATCTCATTGGTTCTTGCAGAAGCTCAAACGTGCTGCGTAACACGAGAATGAACCTCATTGGTTCTTGCAGAAGCTCAAACGTGTTGCGTAACACGAGAATGAACCTCATTGGTTCTTGCAGAAGCTCAAACGTGCTGCGTAACACGAGAATGAACCTCATTGGTTCTTGCAGAAGCTCAAACGTGCTGCGTAACACGAGAATGAAGCTCATTGGTTCTTGCAGAAGCTCAAACGTGCTGCGTAACACGAGAATGAACCTTATTGGTTCTTGCAGAAGCTCAAGCGTGCTGCGTAACACGAGAATGAACCTCATTGGTTCTTGCAGAAGCTCAAACGTGCTGCGTAACACGAGAATGAACCTCATTGGTTCTTGCAGAAGCTCAAACGTGCTGCGTAACACGAGAATGAAGCTCATTGGTTCTTGCAGAAGCTCAAACGTGCTGCGTAACACGAGAATGAAGCTCATTGGTTCTTGCAGAAGCTCAAACGTGCTGCGTAACACAAGAATGAAGCTCATTGGTTCTTGCAGAAGCTCAAACGTGCTGCGTAACACGAGAATGAAGCTCATTGGTTCTTGCAGAACCTCTTACAGAAGCTTTACCACAACTTATGTGTGCATTGATAAGTGTTTATATGTGAATAAAAGCCTAAATTCAATCTGTTTATCATATAAAGTGACCTTGTCTCTTTAGAAAATTTTGGACTAAACTGCTCAATTCACATGGGATTAGTTTTACCATCTCTTTATGAACTTTTTGAAGCTTCAAAGTGTTAGTTGCGTAGACTGTCAGTGGAGGAAGAGAAAGCTCTCGGATTTCATCAAAAAGATCTTCGTTTGTGTTCCGAAGATAAACGAAACTCTGACGGGTTTGGAGCGACATGAGGGTGATTAATGACAGAATTTTCATTTTTGGCCCTTTAAGAGGAAGAAGTAATTGGGTATTACACTGCATTTGGTAACGGGTCAGATTACTTTTCCATTGAATACAACAGGGTTGGAAATTAGCCATTCACAGAGGTTTTTTTGTTTAAGCTGCTGATTTTAAGGTCTTTTTCTCCCTCAAGATATCAGGCAAATATTCTCTTCCTGTGGAGAAGATGACTAAAATCTATAAGAAAAGCAAGAAAGGGTGAGTAAACATTTGCCTGTACAAAATCCGTTCTCTCAACTTTTATCAGTGCTAAAAAGCAAAAATATATGTTTTTGTGTTGTTTTGAATTGTTTTAATGTTCACTCTCATTCAACCACTAGTATCCTGGTCAACATGGACGACAACATCATTCAGCACTACTGCAACGAGGACACGTTTATCCTGGCCATTGACAATCAGGCCGACTGTTTCCGGGTCACTCTCACTGAAATTTAAGTGTTAGTGCCGCAGTAACGTGGTTCTACTGAGAGAACCTGATTGGGACCCTGAAGCAGCAGCACACAATTCATTCTGTGCATCAGCGCTCCTATTGGGTTCTTATGACATCTGTATTAGAAGATGAAAACGCCTTTGGAAGTCATTGACTTGGGAATGCACTTCAGTGGACCTGCTGGTACAGATTAAATTGTTTAAATAAACATTATGATGGAACTGTGGAACTATGATTATCATATGTCTGAACAGCACATAAAAATGCTCTTCCAAAGCACTATAATATGCCAGTCAAGTTTAATGGCTTTTTTTTTTCTCTTTGTGCTGTCTCCCCCTTGTGGCCAACAATGTGCAGCCGTAAAAAAGTACCAGACTTTAGCAAGCGTTGACTTCCTTTATCAATACTTCGACGATATTTAAACATAAAGAGATCTTTACCATTCAAGGAAGACATGTGTGTTGTACATTATATCCACAACAATGCCATGAATACACTACTCTTCACCTTATGTGTTGCATTGAATGCATATAGTTGACCCATATTCCTGATTGTGTTATATGTTGTTTTTTTTAAAACATACCTTGTACATATTTTTTATGGTTGTATTTTATCTGTTGAATAAATAAGTCGAGAGTATCTTCACTGTTGTACATACACATGTATTAATTTGGTAAACTGTTGACTGACCAATTGAAATTTAGGGTCTTGTGGGTCTTGAAAGTGGTTGTTGCGTAGCAGTCAATCGAGGGACAGAAATCTCTCAGATTTCATTAACAACAAAAAAACATCTTCATTTGTGTTCTGGGGATGAACGAAAGTCTTCCGGTTTTGGAATGACATGAGGGTGATTAATGACTTTTCAGAATTTTCATTTTTGGGTGAACTAACCCTTTAAAATTAAAAGTATTATTAAAGATTAATCATGTTTTGTTTTTTGTTATAATGTTGCAGTATTTGTTTTGTTTTTTTATTTGTATGAAATTTGCATAAAATGTGTGTCCTTGCTTTTGCTAAATATTAGTTAATTGTTTTGGTATAGTCTGTGCTTGTTCAGGAAAAAGAAGAGAACTGAATTTAAAACCACTTATCATATCACATTTTAATATGCAAACACACCCTTTGTCTCTTATTTGTTTCCCAGGCGTTAGGTGTGTAATTATGCAGGAACAGGTGTCTCCATCCCGGTCTATGTATAAGGAGGTTCGGTCTTTAACCCTAGGGGGGGAGGGGGGAGGGGGTTTGCTTGCTTTGAGTCTGATAACTGCTGATTCCTGTTGCAGTGTTTTCCAATCGCAAACAATATGAATATTTAAACCTTAAGCATCTGACAAGTTCCCAAACTGGTTTCTGGTGTTTTTTGAGAAACATGATGCAGGTCATATAGGCCTAACCCAGAGCTGAGGTGCAAAAACAACCTAATTTCTGTGCTTTTAAAATGTGTTTTAAATTGTATATATTAATTTAGCATTTATTTTAGCCAATATGTTGATTTGTACATTGTCTATTCTAGCTAGCTAGCTATCACCTACTACACCTTTGTAGCTTGTACTTTTGTACTTGTATCTTCTTGCATTTGTGCAAGCCTATGCCATATATTATATGGGGCTATATATATAGCCTATCTGTAATATCTTATAATTTACATTGTGACTAAACTAACCTGAAAAGTTCACTCTTATTTTGAACCTGCCCATGAGGAAGAGCTCAGATCAAAAGTGAAAGTATGCTATCACCTATTGAATGCATCGGGTTTCGAGGTTAGCCGGGCAGAGTTATTTCTTTGAATAAAATGCGTTTTAGCTCACTTAATGTAAATATATGCATATAATAAGCGACATCTAGCCAAATTATTAGTTATATTGTCAGGAGCTGCTCGGTGATGTTAACACTCCTCGTCTTCCTTTCGTTGGTTTATGGTGAGTTTTCGACATTTATTCGTAGGCCTATTCCTATATTCGGCCGAGCTGCTTTTATAGATGTGGATCTATAGATTGTGTATTAATTAATGAAATATAAACGTAATGTTTTACGACGTTAAATAATCTATTAATGGATTTCGCTTTCGGTTTTATTTTCAATAGTCTGATTTTGGCAGATTTGGCTCCCCCTGCTGTTGAAGTGAATGTACTGTCCTAACTAATGTTAAAGGGATAGTTCACCCCAAAATGAAAAATAGCCCATGATTTACTCACCCTCAAGTCATCACAGGTGTATATGAAATTCTTCTTTCAGACAAATACAATCAGAGTTATATTAAAAAATGTCCTGGCTCTTCGAAGCTTTATAATGGCACTATGGCAGTGAATTGCTGTTTCTGTTTTGAAGTCCATAAAAGTGCATATCCATCATAAAAGTGCTTCTATCCATCATAAAAGTGCATCTATCCATCATAAAAGTGCATCTATCCATCATAAAAGTGCATCTATCCATCATAAAAGTGCATCTATCCATCATAAAAGTGCTCCACATGGCTCCAGGGTGTTAATTAGCTAGTTATTTTACTTTATACAGGTAAAGTTTTAAATATGAATATTTATCTTACACAAACGCATCGCTTCGCTTCAGAAGAACTTTAACCCCAGAGCCGTGTGGAGCACTTTTATGATGGATAGATGCACTTTCATGATGGATAGATTGCACTTTTATGATGGATAGATGCACTTTTATGATGGGTAGATACACTTTTATGATAGATAGATGCACTTTTATGATGGGTAGATGCACTTTTATGATGGATAGATGCACTTTTATGATGGATAGATGCACTTTTATGGACTTCAAAACAGAAACAACCATTCACTGCCATTAAGCTTGGAGGAGCCAGGACATTTTAATATAACTCCGATTGTATTCGTCTGAAAGAAGAAAGTCATATACACCTAATATGACTTTAGGGTGAGTAAATCATGGGCTAATTTTCATTTTTGGGTGAACTAACCCTTTAATACCGCTATTGTGCTAACTACTGTTCTGTGGTCGCAGGGCTGGAGGGAGCTGATGTGGTTCTGTCCTGCTCGCTGATCGAAGAGGGGGGAGGGATGGGAGGCATGATGGGCGGGTCGATGTTCAAGCGCACTCCCTCCACGCTGGTGTTCAGGGATCTGGTTGGGAATGCTGATCTGTCACCAGAGCTTGTGACCCCATATAACCCCCCCGAGACCCCTAATGCCGACGATCTGATCTTTGAGTTAATGTGTAAGTGCAGTGAACCTAAAGTCAGCAAGTGAATATGTCTAAATCAAAAACATATAGAATATCTTTCTGTATTGTTTCTCACCCCCACAGTACCATCCATTCAGATTCCTAATGTAGACTTGCTTCTCCACGCTGATTGTAATGAACAGGAAGTGGTTTGTGAGATTAGCCGTTATGTTCCTCGTGATGCTGATTTGGATTCCCTGCCTGCACATTTCATTGGCTCAGTTCAGCTGGATGGAGGCGGGATCAGCCTCACGCTGGTCCTCCAGACGCTTCACAGTGAGACCACACAGTCCCACACGCAACCACTTGTGCAGAGTACACTGAACCTGACTCTCAGCCAAGCAGGAACGTTGCTGACAGAGGGTAATGTTGAAATATGTTATTATTATTATTGGACTATGTTCATACAAAGGCTGCATCCGAAATCGCATACTTCCCTACTAGTAGGCGAAAAACAGTATGTGACAAAAGAAGTGTGTCCGAATTCACAGTAGGCCTACTCATAAAAGAATAGGCAAAAAGTACGCAGTTGACCTACTTCCTGTGAGATTCTGAAGTGTGTATACGGCCCTGTCCCAAATGGCGCACTTCATGCGGACTTTCGGTCTCGTGGACTTAAATTGCGCGTGCTCGCCGAGTCTACGAGTCCGTAGGCCGTCCCATTTAGCATTTTAACGCTCTGAAGTGTGCTCAGCAGCGCCCCCTGTGTACCCTTGAAGCGGTCTTCCGCGAAGCCCGCATAGATGCAGGCTCCACGCACTTGAACTACCCAGGAATCCTTGCGAAAGGCCAATCAGACAACGGATGGGAGGAGATTTCGCTCACGGACAATTGTTAACATGGCTGAAAAGAAAATATTTAAGTGTAATTATCATTACGGTTTTTATGACAAGTTTATACAAACATTATGATCATCGACCAGTGGTTGATGATGTCTCAAACATTGGCTAATAATAGCGAGCTGAATAATACGATTGCATTATGATTCATTAAATAAATAGAACAGAATGTCAGGGCTTTACTGAGTCATATGTAAACACAACAACAATAGGCAGCATATTTCCCCGAACCTGTAGCTCCTGTCCATAACAACAACCAGACAAACAACTTCCTGTTTCCGGCGTGACGATCGAGTCTGTACCAAAAATACCTCTCAATGCGCCCTCGCGGACTTGCGCTAAGGGCCCTATAGGTCTGCACTACATGACGTCACCGAAGTGTGGACTCTGAGGAAGTCCACAAGTCCGGAGTGTGCCATTTGGGACAGGGCCTACGAAGGAAACTTTACTATCCCATGAGGCCACGGGAGAATTTGCGAATGGCAGTAAAGCGAAGTAACTGACGCGCTGATAGATCACATGATAATGACAGCATGGCAAATGTAGTAGCCTACGTCCGTATTACATTCATACTACACACACTCATACTATATATAACATACATTTTCAGCGGCCATGAAGTAATTACTTATGCAAAATAGGTATTCAAGAGAGTATGTGATTTCGGATGCAGCCACATTCTCGAGTATAGCTATGCTATATGGTCAAACATGTTGAATATGAGATGGGAGGAAAAATTATATTCCAGCGCTTTTACGTTCGCTCACAAAACGTTGTTCTCTCACAAAATTTTGTGTTCCCCTGAGAAACTTTGCATTCAGTAGCAAAAAATATTGCGCTATAAACTTAGTGTTTCCACGAAAAACTTTGCATGCGCTCGCTCCCACCTCTTTTTCCATCATCACAAAGGTTATGCAAGCAAACGCAAAGTTTTATGGGCGAACACATTTTCTTGGGGGAACATAAACGTTTGGATTTTTGTATAATGTACGTTTAGTTTTAATGAATGAATTTTAATACTTATGCATGTGTAATACAAATGAGAATGATAGTTGTTTCTAATTGGCCTAGACTGCCAAACCCTGCCTAAAACACACAAAACAAACACTACACTCATAATAAAATATCACAAATTTAAAATAAACTTTATATTCAATGATTTATTTATTTTTGAATAGATTAAACTTTCATGAAAACATTTGCAAGTGGTTTGAGGTGTCACTACACATTCAGCTTTATTCTCATTGCATTTACAGCATATTGTCGCCAGTGTGTGGTGTTTAGAGCCCTGCGAAAAAATGTTGCAAAGCGTTGCCAGATTCTTGTTATGATTTGCTTTAACTAATCTTACTTTTTGCATGGTTTGTAATGACATTTTTAACATTTTTCCTCCTCTCTCTCTCTCTTCTTAATATCTCTCCACCCAGTTGTGTTTGTGGTGTTCTCGCGTGTCCCATCCATAGTGGCTCCAATAGGGGGTGATGTGCTTTTAGACTGTGGCTTTAGACAGAAGGACTCCGTCCCAGGGCAGGAAGTGGCACTTGAGTGGCGTATACAACATAGAGGAAATGGCCGTAAAATTCTTGATATGAAAGCGAGGGAGGAGGAGGCGGACATGGCACCAGAACGTAAGTGAGAAGTATTCAGATAATTAAAGGAAATGACATGTTTGTATGCTAAATGTCACCATACTATTGTACACTACAGTATTTGTGGACCGGGAAGGCACAAGCGCTGAAGCAGATCTTCTGGTGAGGGACGGGAATGCGTCTCTGACTATGCAGAGGTTAAAGGTCACAGATGAGGGCACATACATCTGCACTGTCGGCTCTGGGGAGTTTCAGACTCAACAGATCGTGCAGCTGCACATTACACGTGAGTCTTTCATAGAATGGTCAAAATATCCCAGATGTTTCCTGACATTCTACACTCACCTGAAGGATTATTAGGAACACCTGTTCAATTTCTCATTAATGCAATTATCTAATCAACCAATCACATGGCAGTTGCTTCAATGCATTTAGGGGTGTGGTCCTGGTCAAGACAATCTCCTGAACTCCAAACTGAATGTCAGAATGGGAAAGAAAGGTGATTTTGAGCGTGGCATGGTTGTTGGTGCCAGACGGGCCGGTCTGAGTATTTCACAATCTGCTCAGTTCACTGGGATTTTCACGCACACCATTTCTAGGGTTTACAAAGAATGGTGTGAAAAGGGAAAAACATCCAGTATGCGGCAGTCCTGTGGGCGAAAATGCCTTGTTGATGCTAGAGGTCAGAGGAGAATGGGCCGACTGATTCAAGCTGATAGAAGAGCAACTTTGACTGAAATAACCACTCGTTACAACCGAGGTATGCAGCAAAGCATTTGTGAAGCCACAACACGCACAACCTTGAGGCGGATGGGCTACAACAGCAGAAGACCCCACCGGGTACCACTCATCTCCACTACAAATAGGAAAAAGAGGCTACAATTTGCAAGAGCTCACCAAAATTGGACAGTTGAAGACTGGAAAAATGTTGCCTGGTCTGATGAGTCTCGATTTCTGTTGAGACATTCAGATGGTAGAGTCAGAATTTGGCGTAAACAGAATGAGAACATGGATCCATCATGCCTTGTTACCACTGTGCAGGCTGGTGGTGGTAGTGTAATGGTGTGGGGGATGGAACCTGGAAGCCAAGATGGAAGCCACGGCCTACCTGAGCATTGTTTCTGACCATGTCCATCCCTTTATGGCCACCATGTACCCATCCTCTGATGCCTACTTCCAGCAGGATAATGCACCATGTCACAAAGCTCGAATCATTTCAAATTGGTTTCTTGAACATGACAATGAGTTCACTGTACTAAAATGGCCCCCACAGTCACCAGATCTCAACCCAATAGAGCATCTTTGGGATGTGGTGGAACGGGAGCTTCGTGCCCTGGATGTGCAGCCCACAAATCTCCATCAACTGCAAGATGCTATCCTATCAATATGGGCCAACATTTCTAAAGAATGCTTTCAGCACCTTGTTGAATCAATGCCACGTAGAATTAAGGCAGTTCTAAAGGCGAAAGGGGGTCAAACACAGTATTAGTATGGTGTTCCTAATAATCCTTTAGGTGAGTGTATAAAGGTGTTTCTTCTGCTGTGCATAGAAGCTTGTTTCTGCCACAGAATAAAAAAATAAAAATCTCAGAATTGCTCAGTATAAACTTGTACCTTTGAGTTGTAAAGTCAGAATTGTGAGTTTATTTATTATCACAATTCTTAGAAAAAAGTCATCTCACCATTGTGACTTCATATCTCACAGTCAGAATTGCAAATTTATATCTCGGAGATCTGACTTTATTTCCCAGAATTGCAACTAGGCCTATATCTCGCAGTTCAGACTTTATACTGTAACTCGCAATTATGAATTTATATCTCACAAATCTGAGAAAAAAGTCAGATCTGCTAGACATGCAATTCTGACTTTCTTTCTTGCAATTGCAAGTTTGTATCTCTCTTAGAATTGTGAGATATAAAGTCTCAATTCCGAGTTATAATGTCAGAATTGCGGGAGATAAACAGAATTGTGAGAGAGAAAAAATCTGAATTATAAGATAAAATTGTTTGGAAACAAGCTTCCATAGCTGTGGGCATGGAAATAAACTCTTACAGGGATAGTTCACCCATAAAGGAAAATTATTAACATCCTAAATACACAATTCATATTTTAAAATATACGATTTTTTCATTCTTTGTTTAGATTATCATATTTTTTTAAGCATAATACTTCCTATTTTTATAATGTCATTTCATTGTTTCAAGTCTAAAAAAAAGTAAAAAATGCAATCTATACATGAAATGGATATGAAAAGCATCACAAAATAAATGCATTAAGAATGTGAGCTGCCTTCGTATAACAAAAAGAAAAACTGAAATCTGTTTGTTTTTATAAAAATCCAAACATTGGATTTACAGTAAGTGTTCAAAGTTGAAGAAACCCGTAAAATTGTTCACATCCATAAATCCTAAATTTTATGTGAATGTAATTAGTCAGAGATACCATGCCATATCACACTCCATCTTTGCCCAGAACCTCCTCATGTCACACTGTCTGAGGAGAAACTGATATTTCAGGATTCGACACCTCAGAAGCTGAGCTGTCACTGTCAGCGTTACTACCCTCTGGATGTGCAGGTTAGCTCACTTTCAGAACAGCCACAGTACAAAAGTTGCCTTGTTTAGTTTCGTGTCCTGACGGCCCTGTGCTCCCGTAGGTGGAGTGGTTTTCCCAAGCACCCTCTGCAGAAGAGCCAGTCTCTTTGACAAAAGAATCCTCTCTCTCCAGCCATCGGCAGCACAATGATGGGACATACTCCCTCTCCTCTTTCCTCACCCTACGGCCCGACGAGCACCCACCGGGGACGATTGTCACCTGTAGGGTCTCTCACTCCGCCCTAGAAACACCGAGTGATGTCAGTCTGACTGCGGACAAAACTGAGCCAAGTAAGTTTTCTTTTCTATTTTTAAATATGAATTTTTTTTAATGTAAATTTAATGTTTATCACAGAGCAAACTAGTCACGGAGAAAGTGCCACTATTATGCTTTTTTGAATATTACCTTTCATGTAGTGTGTAATATAGCTGTTTGTGAATGTAAAAGGTTTGCAAAGTTTTAAAGATCAAAGTGTATACTTCTCATTAATGAAGTTATTGTTTCCTAAAAGAAAGGATTGATTCTGAACCGCTGAAACAAGACGTCAACGAATTTGGATTTGGGCTGGAATTGATATGATAAAACCGAAGCCACCATTACTGTTCGTATCTATGTGTATCAAGTGCTGAGGAAGCCGCCGGAGCCGAAATTTAAATATGGTGATAGGCATTTTTTAAGTGGTCGACCAATCACAACAGACTGGGCCATCTGACCAATCAGAGCAGAGTAGGTTTGCAGAAAGGAGGGGTTTAGAGAGACTGAATCTTCCAACTAACCGTTTTCAGACTCTTTGAGAAATGAGGTGATGTGCAATGTATATTATGAGAAAATTAAAGTGTTTTTTTTGCTTTACTTGGATCCATGTAAACCTATTGTGAGAGAGTCCAAAATAAAATTAGGAACCTTTAAAATAGCATAATAGGGGCACTTTATTATGTAACATATGTTAGTGATTACTGCAAATCTAGTCATGTCTTAATTTAAATAGTCATGAAATCTGTTGCATTATAAAAGCTGTGGAACTTTTTGAATTTAACAGGAAAAGCCTTCTGGACAGTTATCTTAATGTTGGCGATTTCAGTGGTGTTTTTGTATCAAGCATTCAGAGGTGCAGGTGAGTTTCGTTTTTTTTTTAACACATCAACATGTAACTACGTATATATAATATTAAAATAATACTACTGTTCAAAAGTTTGGAGTCAGTAAGATGTTTCTTTTTAAATAAATTAAAACTTTTATTCAGCAAGGATGCATAAACCGTGACTGTAAATAGTGAAAGTAAAGACTATTTTATATTATTGTTACAACAAACAAAAAAACTATTTTAAATAAATGTTATTTTTAACTTTTTATTCATCAAAGAAAAAAAAAAACAATGTTTCCACCGAAATATTAAACAGCACAACTCTTTTCAACATTGACAATAATAAGAAATGTTCAAGACTGCAGTAATGATGCTGAAAATTCAGCTTTTGCCACAGAGGAATAAAATACATTTTTAAATATTTTAAAATAGAATAAAGTTATTTTAAATTGTAAGAATATTTCACAATATCTCAGAAATCTTTCGAAAGGTACTGTATACCACAAAATGTTAAATTTATTATTATAATAATTTGTATTATTATTGTCTTTTAAGAGAACTGAGGACCCGTCTTCTTGAAATCTTGGAAGGAGCCATTTTAGTTTTTTACTTGATCCGTCTGTCCCCAACTGTCTTCCAGTGGATTTATTTTCATTCAATCATGGTACATTTGTTTAATAGAAGTTAAATGTCAAAAAAGGTTTCCTGCATAACTTATTCTGTTAATGTAAAATGAATTCCATTGTTTATCTTCTGATCTACTGGATGTTGTTTATTTGTTGTACATGTTCCTTGTGTTTGATAAATAAAAACAGAAACAGATCAGGTTTTGTTGATGGTTTTACTGGCATCATCTACAGTATCATGGACATACAAGCATGCTGTTTATGCCATTACAGTCTAATCCTGGCATCAGGCCTGACGGCATTACCCCTGTGTTATGGTATATGCTTTCATTCATTCATATTTATACATAAAATAATTTGTCATCATATATGTCAATATAAGACATGTCTATAGTCTCCAACAGAACAAAATATAAAAGTCTGTGCTGACGAAGGAATGTGAACCAACAGCTGTATTTTGCATGGCAGTATAGATCATAATTTATGCTCTTTTTGCATTGATTATCTGTTATTTTCTGTACATTTCAGTACATTTTGGCAGGGTTGTAGCATTCACAACTTGTTCCCCGGTGAGGCTTTTCCACAGTACAGGAAAATGAGGCTTGTTTTGTACAGGCAGTTAATAGTAATAAATAAGCATATTACTAGTAAAAGAGTCTAACAGTGGGATTATTCTGCCATGCAAGTCAAAAGACACCAAATAAACACATTAAGTTTTCTATGTGCACATGTTCTCATTTTTCCCATTGAACACAGTTATAGAATTGTTTTACTGTTTGTTTTCATTAACTTGTGCACCTCCAGGTAAACACACAGAACAAAAAAGTACAAAAGCTGTCACTGGGGCGGTACCCTTTCAAAAGATACTATGTAGGGATGGGGAAGTAACGCGTCATAAAGCACTGTGGCTTTCCCCTGACTGTGCAGGCCGATTCAAAGCTTCAAGAGTGTCAAAAACGGCACCATCTGGTGGTTAGTTACAAATGAAAGCAGCCAAAAGCCCGTGAAAAAAGCTACATCGGATAAAGCAGCCACCACACACACTCCATAGTTTTAAATGGGACCTATTTAAAATTCACCTTTACATGGTGTTTGAACATAAATGTGTGTCGGCAGTGTGCCTATAATGATAAAAATCCACCCACTCCTCTTTTTTAGTCCCCATAAATCATAAGCAGTGTCTCAGAACAAGCCGTTTGTAGATTCTAGCTTTTGTGATGTCACAAATGCTTAAGCCCCGCCCACCACTGCTGACGGACTCCGCTCTATTAGCATAAACCCGTCCTGAATGAGCTGTACACTCTCCGCCATGTTTATCTTCTCGCCAGAGCATATAACACCAGCATTCATGTAAGAAATCTATTCTTTTGTTGTTTGATTCATATTAACAACAATTTATGACATATGACTTATATTACATCTTGTAATAAGGGGCATAATAGGTCGGTAACGCTTCCTTTTACAGTACAGTACTTACGTGTACTTACTTAGAAAGTACTGGCTAATATAAGGTAAGTACATGGGTTAGGGGTAGGTTTAGGGGTAGGTTCAGGGTTAGTACCTAGTTATTACCCAGTAATTATAATTACTATAATAATCAGTACATAGTAAGTACATGGGTAACAGGACTGTAAAAGGAAGCGTTACCAATAGGTCTCCTTTAATGTTATGTATAAACAAATAAAAGCCTAACACGTGTGTGTGTTGAAATTCTCTCTGATAAATTCATTTACCATACCATTAGAATGTGGCAATAAATGCCAGTATGAATATTGAAAAGATGTAATAGAAGAATAATGTGCAAATGTATGACTAACAGTTACATATGGAAAGTTACATCCTGAAATAATTGTATTCTTCATATTACTTTTATGACTGGGTATTTAAAAATGTAATTAATAGGTTTGATCTCAATTAAAACTTGTAGATCTGGTGTTCTAGCATTCTGACACGCAAAGCGAATTGTGCACGTGATTGGACAGAAAGTGAGGCTTCGTTTGTCGTCGTTTACGGGACTCAGTGAAACCATTAGCTGAGTAGATAAAGTTGGAGATTGTGCTCAGGAAATTGTGCTGTGTTCCTCAAAGATTCAGTTTCATAAAAAAAAAAAAAAAATCAGTTTCATAAGTAACATCACTACTTATATGTACTATTTTACCGCCAAGGTGACCGCTTTTGTAGCTTTTTTTTATGAGTGTAAAAAACTGCTATCTCATTGCATTCTCATAAATTATCTGTCTAGTTGTGTGTTTTTTATTTTTATTTTAAATCTGTATCTTAAAGGTGCAGTAAGCAATTTCTGAGAAACACTGTTGAAGGTGGATCGGACCGAGCACCACAACACACTTGTAGCCAATCAGCATTAGGAGGCGTGTCCACTCATGATGGGGGAGGAGAGAGAGAGTAAGTGAGTGAGAGGGAGATTTGAAGAAAGACTGTAGAAAGAGAGATGTCTGAGAGACATTGCAAAAGAGAAAATGTCAGATGATTATCACTGGAAAAATAAGTGTTATGATCAGGGAGGAGCTTTAGGGCCCGCGTTAATATTAAAAAAGCTTTCCAGAGCCGAGACCGAAGTGGGAAGATCTGAAACCGATGCAGAGGTTGAGTTGTTTCTGCTCAATACGTGAGTAACATTGGTTTTGCTATGTTTCACAGAACCAAGATATGCTGTTGTTGTAATGTTAGCTACAACAACAAACTCTTGCTTGTATATACTCTTGTGTACTGTCTGTTTTTTGTTCTTCCTTGTTGTTCATTCAACATTTTCACTTTATTTTGCTTCGCTTTAGCTATGATAAAGAGACATCCACTCTTGCTTTGCGTGTTCGTGCATTTTGGGGGCAGAGCAATGAAGAGAGGTGTGTGTTTGTTTGGGTTGATTTCAAATATCAACATTGTTTTTCTCAGAATCGCTTACTGCACCTTTAAGTACACATACACATTTAGAATAAAAGTCAAAGGGTGACAGCTCATGAATCGTCTCTAAGTAACAGGGGAATGGCAACAGAGTAGTATCAGATTATGTCAGTATCAATTTATAAAATTTCTCCGAAAGGTCAGATGAGAAAGCTTTGGCATTACAGGGACAGAAAGAATGTTTACCTGACTTTACTATCATCTATTCCCCCACCAACACACACACACACACATGCATACAGACTCTCTTTGTCTCCCTGTCTCTCTCTCTCTCACACACACACACACACACTACCGTTCAAAGGTCTGTTGAAAATGTTTTTGAAAGAAGTCTCTTCTGCTCACCAAAGCTGCATGCATTTCATCAAAAATACAATAAAAACAGTAATAATAATGTAAAATATTATTACAATTTAAAATAACTGTTTTCTATTTTAATATATCTTAAATGTAATGTATTCCTGTGATGGCAAAGCTGAATTTTCAGCATCATCACTGCAGTCTACAGTGTCACACTATCCTTCAGAAATCCAGATGTTGATTTGGTGCTCAAGAAACTTTTTGATGAATAGAAAAGTTTAAAAGAAGAGCATTTATTTGTCTGCTGTGACTTTTGATCAATTTTATGCTTCCTTGCTAAATAAAAGTATTCATTTCTTTAAAAATAAATAAAAAATCTTACAGACCTCAAACTTTTGAACGGTAGTGTGCTCCTCCCATGAGCACTGGATCTCCTTTTTCATCCTCCTACCTTGTCTTCACAAGTGTCACCACATTTTTTTCCTTCCTGGCTTCTCCCACTTATTCTAAATCTGTTTTTTCTTCTGCTCTCTCTCTCTCTCTTTGCTCTTTCTGTGCATTCATGTATGAATTTCTGCAGAAGGTTTGAATAATGCAGGAGATTCCAAGAGGGAGGGAAAAGGAGAGAGGTAGACAGAAACTGAAAGATATAGAGAGCATGTGACATGTGTTCATTCTGATACAGGAGAAAGGAGAGCAGACATCTACATACTACATACACACATACACACCATGGTGCAAAATGTCTAAATGGAAAGACCTTAGGATTGAAGAAAGAAGTATTTGGGAAATAGGTGGAGCTCATAATTGTGTTTTCTTCGTTCATTTTCTTGTTTGTTGCAGGTGGATCGGCTCAAGAGAAGAAATACACTAGATAAGGAAAGATCAAAAGGGAGAGCGTGAAAAAAAGGTGCTCGATATTCCATTGCAAAATGTGTCTCTTGTCGGGTTCAGTAGCCATACATACGGTACACTCTAAAAAATGCTGGGTTGTTGGGTCAAATATGGACACACCCAGCCGTTGGGTTATTTTTTTTTATTACATTTTTAACCCAATGTTTGGGTTTGTCCATATTTGACCCAAAATTGGGTTAAAACATTTTTTAGAGTGTACCATTATGCACAACTGCCCTCAATGAATAATTCACCGTAATGATGCATTATTGAGCTTATGCTGAGTTGGTCCAGTCTGAGCTCTAAACACAGTAAAGAGTACTCTACACAGTAAACTCACACAGGCGGTTGGTCTGAGAACCAGCACTGATGCCTCTAATAAAGCTAAGCATCACTTAAAAAAACCTGAGCATCCCAGAATGCTCTGCGTGCCCACGACAGGTAAGCATGCACATTCAAAATACCTTCCTTTGCTAAAGAGAAAATGATGTGTAAATAATGGTATAATGAATAAATATTAAATCAATTTTTGAATACGATAAAAGTAATGAAATAAAAATGTAAAAACAATAAATCTTCAAAGCTCAAAGCTTTAAAATGTCCATATAAATACAGAAATATAATCAGAAATCCAGTTAAATAATAATAAATGGTAATAACAGGTAATAGTGCTATTATAATGCAATATAATATATAATTGCCTTTGTAACAATTATGACTAACAGACGTTCTAGAGTAATAAGATAATAGGATATAATGGCAAAGTTGTCTGATCATAATGTGTAAAAGCACATGCTTCAATTAACCCATTAAATGACTCGAAACTCACAGAATATGATTCCAACGAAGAGGACTCCAATGACACCCATAATAATCATCATCTGAGGGAGAAAAAAACAACAATTAAAATTACACAATTCGTCACTGACTCTACATTACATGAAGGAAGACAGCAACACAAACACAATCACAAACATCCTGGTTATCAAGAACCATCAGATCAAGAATCTGACAACAAACGCTTACAAGTCCTTAAGTTTAAGTGTATGTAAAATATATTTTTAGGTGCCTGTTCGAGCAACTCAGGGATTGTGGGATTTGTTCTTTTTATCATCTGGCTAGCGTTGTCAAAAGTACCGACTTCAGTACCAAGAAATTTTAAAAATGTGACGATACCAGCATTTTGAGCGCTGTTGAAAGGATTCTTAAACATCTCTGGTTGGCCATTGCATTCACGCGCTCAACATATATGTCTGTGATTGGCTACAATGATCAACGCTTTAAAAACATGTTGTCTTCAGCGTAATAATATGATATTATTACGGTTTCAACTTAAAAAACTTTTCAACTCTAGCTTTCCGTAGAACCAGGCCTGCTTGTCCAGAGACGAGTAAGGGAGAATTTCACATACCAAAGCAATCCTTTCCTTTGAGTTGTGTATTCTGGCAGGTGTAATGGTATCGAATAAATTGTTATTCAAATCACAGGGATTTCAGGAGACAAAACTTGCCTTCATGCGGAGAAACAGCCAAATCAACAAAATATGTTGAAGATCTTCGTTGTTGAAATAATTAAAACGTTACTTTTTTATATAATAAAATTTTTAAATGGTTGACAATTTAGTTGTGACGTCTCTGAGATTAACCGAGGTTCCCCCTCGGTTGAAATTGCGAGGCCCCCTACGGCCGGGGGCCCCTAGAATCATCACCAGCATTTGCCCCGCTAGCGACGGCCCTGCATGTCAGGGGTGCAGGATGTGCAGATCATTTTGAATAAGTTTTAATTTGTTCAAATCCCTAAGTGGGAGTATATGAGAAAAAATAGTAATGCATCAATTACAAAAACATATACATGTTCAGTCATCACTCATTTTTGACAGCTATTTTTTCCATCTCATAGCAGATTTCAAAAATACATTCTTAATAAATCCTTAAACAGACATTTAAAAACATCCTCAACAAGGCAGTTTACTTTACATTTTAGTCTAGATTCGGATCACTAGTAACAAAAATCCTGCTCATAAAGTAGTAGACAGTACACAAAGAGATGAATGATGTCCAAAGTTTCTCTGCATCAATCGGTAATTAGCAAAACCCAGAAGCTCCAGTTTACACATATTAACTAATTAACACTAGCAGCTGTTCTGAGCAAAATCGCTGAGCACAGCATGAGCAATAAGCACTGACCTATTTACTTCTGCATGTTATTTCATTCACACTATATAGAGTTCTGAGTACAGTAGAATTATCTATATAGGCTACTATTATTCATATTTTTAAATCGTTTCTATTTTTTTTTTAAAATGTTTTCATTTTCATTTAAGTTGTAGTAATTGTATGTACTTTTATTATTTTGTTATTATGATTATTTCCTATACAGCTTTATTTAAATTTTTAGGTTTAGTACTTCAACATTAGTACTTCAAGTATAAGTTTTTCATCTAATATTTATATTTTATTTTATTTCAGCTTTATTAATATAATCCGAATGTCCCACCTTGCAGTTCTTCCACCAGTATTTGTTCTTGAGTTTGGCAGCACAGCTTTCGAACTGTGAAGCCCCGGCCTGCAGAGCATCTGCCCTGTCGTCTAGCTCAGACAGCTTCTGGTCTCTCTCCAGAACCTTATCCACATTCACACGCATGATATCCACCACCTGCAGACCACAAACACACAGAAGACATGAGGCAAGAAACATCGACACTGAACACTTGTGTTGCAAAAGCATTGATTCATAAGGAAAGAAAGAAAAGTATACAGAAAGTCTGCAAATCTGCACATTTTGCCCATCCATAGCTAATCCGTATATTTCTTGTCCATAAACACTCACTCACCTCCTCCACTTGTGCTTGTGTCTGCTGTAGTCTGCGGTTGCTGGTGGTGTTTGGAGGGGGAGGAGGACCGGTTCCTCCAGGGCCACCTGGGGCTCCAGGAGCACCTGCTGGGTTGGCATCATCTGCAGAAGACCTGAACATACAAAGACGATCATGACACATAAAAACTGTTGACTGAATTTGTTTAACCTTTACAAAAATTAACCATTTGTATAACCACGGTTTTAATGCAAATACCATGGTTAAACTATGGTTAGTTAAGCAAAACCATAGTTAATTTATGGTTACCATGGTTTAACTACAATAACCACGTTTTTTTTGGTTTTATTTGTTGTAAGACCATGGTTCATTTTCATAATATTTCTGATTTGATGTTCCAGTTATGTCGAACACAGGGTATGGCTTCCTAAAAGAGTTTACTACATTAATTATTCATTTGTACATTAATTGCTTCTATTATTTTAAGGTCTAAATTTCTGGTCGACCAATATGGGTTTTTCAATGTCTAGTAGGGTACCAAGGCTGATTATGTACTGTGCACATGTAGGCTATTACGTTAGGTTCATAAAGGTTCAATGTTTATTATCCATTGAATCCTGGTTATCAGTCTTTATAACAGGGAGGTCTAGTATTATGGAGGGATTATTGGGTCAGATTGAAAACTAAAAGTCTAAAACTAAAAGTCTTAAACGAAAACCAAAAGTCTAAGTTTGAAACTAAAAGTCTAAGTCGAAAATTAATTTGGTATTTAGGATAGGGCATTTCGTATTTAGGATAGGGCATTTCGTATTTAGGATTGGGAATTTGGTCATTTAGCCATTTGGGATTGGGCATTTAGGGATTTAGGATTGGGCATTTAATCATTTAGCCATTTAGGATTGGGCATTTGAGGATTGAGGATTGTATGCAAATAAGGAGGCTTGGCCCAAATACTGGAGGCTGGGTTTGAAATGGCTGGTGCAGGTGCACCTTATGGACAGCAGAGGGAGCTCCAGTGCTAAGGAGCACACTGTAATGAAACCAAACAGAGCGAGTGAGCAGGTCTGAAGCGAGGACTGCACTTTATAATGTGATAACTTCAACTTGTATAGGGGTAATGGAACGAACGGTACATGTATTCCTATTGAACCGAAACGGTAGCCTTACGGGCGTCACGGTTCGGTGCACGAATTTACACGGAGAATACACGGTATAAAAATAAATAAAACTCTAAATGGCGATACATTTCGCTCTATTCGCGTTTGGTGTGAACGCAGCATAATAAACAGGCTGCGATGTCAAGATTGCAATGCTGGAGTGTGTGTGTGTGTGTGCGCGCGAGAGAGAGAGAGAGAGGGGAGGGGGAGGCGCGGGCGCGATCGACCTAGGTGTGTGTGTGTGTGTGTGTGTGTGTGTGTGTGTGTGTGTTGTGTGTGTGTGTGATTTTGGTTGGGTGACAGTTGTAGGTTACAGTTTGACAAGATTGTGTGACAAGAGCACAATGTTGTATTTTATTGCGAGTGTAGCCTACACAAATATACACACTTTGCAGTTTGATCTTTGCGCACACACTCCAACATTGCAATCTTGACATCGCAGCCTGTTTATTATGCTGCGTTCACACCAAACGCGAATAGAGCGAAATGTATCGCTATTTAGAGTTTTATTTATTTTTATACCGTGTATTCTCCGCGTAAATTCGTGCACCGAACCGTGACGCCCGTAGGCTACCGTTTCGGTTCAATAGGAATACATATACCGTTCCAGTACCCCTATACAACGCTGTCATTAAGTTGAAGTTATCACATTATAAAGTACAGTCCTCGCTTCAGACCTGCTCACTCGCTCTGTTTGGTTTCATTACAGTGTGCTCCTTAGCACTGGAGCTCCCTCTGCTGTCCATAAGGTGCATCTGCACCAGCCATTTCAAACCCAGCCTCCAGTATTTGGGCCACGCCTCCTTATTTGCATACACTCCTCAATCCTCAATCCTCAAATGCCCAATCCTAAATGGCTAAATGATTAAATGCCCAATCCTAAATCCTAAATGGCTAAATGACCAAATTCCCAATCCTAAATACGAAATGCCCTATCCTAAATACCAAATGCCCAATCCTAAATACCAAATGCCCAATCCTAAATACCAAATTCATTTTCGACTTAGACTTTTAGTTTCAAACTTAGACTTTTGGTTTTCGTTTAAGACTTTTAGTTTTAGACTTTTATTAGTTTTCAATCTGACCCAATAATCCATCCATAAACTGGTGTGCATCTTGAGACAAAACAATGGCACTGACATATTTTAAGATAGATCAATGGAAGATGAGTTCAGTTAAAACATGCATTTTAGTCTGGGACTAGCATTAAGCCTTATCTGTGTGAAACCGGGGGGTAAATAAAAACATTTAATCGTGACAGTTTAGTGTTAGGCAACTGAGAGATCCTCCAGCATCTCCAACAAATCGATAAAAAAATGTAAGTCACTCACACTCATGGGAAATTAAGCTTGAAAACTGTTTACAAAGTTACATATCGTAACGTTAGGTCTTGTAGCAAAAAAAATGGTAGAATATAGAGTCTGCGAAAATACTTACATTCTCTTTCAGAGTACCTCACCGAAAGGAAAAGAGTCAAAAGGTGATACAATTAAAAATTAAAACAGCGAAGAAGCAGTAGAAATGGTTAAATTAGGAAGGAGAGGCTGATGTGCAAGGTTGAAGCGGCTTGCTGCTGATGCGGGATCCTCGCGCGACTCATCAGTGCAATTGGCGCATTATCGAGGCACGCGCTGGACAGTTAAAGCGGTCGCGTGCTCGGACGCACGAGCGCATAAATCCTTTTCAGTTTTCTCTACAAGAAGTTACAAATTTCAACGTGAATTAGAGAAACACAATGGTTATTTATAACATACAATGCAGTGCGGGCTAATTTTGAGTGCTCTCACTGGATTCTGTTCTTCAGGCTGGATTAGGTTAGTGCAGTAAATGTGCGCGCGCTGCGCTCCTGCACTGCGTCGCTACTGTATCTGAACTCATGAGGAGGATGATGATGATGATGATGCGCTGCGTGTTTTTACTGCCCCCATCCTCCCTCTCTCTCTCTGTGTGTACTGCGGTACTTCAGTGAGTTCAGAGTGCTGAGTCGGCTTGTTCTTTCTAAGGGGACTTTTCTTTTCTCTGATAACTGGTTTCTCCACATACCCCACATGCTATACTTCTCAAGTCCTGCATATAGGCGAGTATGGGTCTCATGGGCCTGGTTTTACAGACAGGGCTAAGATTGAGCCAGGATTAGGCCTTAATTCAATTAGGACATTTAAGTAGCTTTTATAAACACGCCTTAGAAAACAAACAAACATTATTGATGTGCATCTTTAGACAAAACAATGGCACTGACATATTTTAAGATAGATCAGTGCAAGTTGCTTTCAGTTAAAACAGCTCAAACATGCATCTTAATCTGGGACTAGCTTATACCTCATCTGTGAAACCGGGGGATAGTCTATCAAACATCAGGCCCATATTCTGACGTCATCCATGCACTTAATCCAATCTGGGCTTTATGAGGTGGCAGTTAGCTAATTATTTAATAAAAATGCTGCATAACATATTATATAGCATAATGATCACTTTGGTAGATGAAAGGCAGACTCAAAAAGTTCAAAAGTAATTTGTCAGTCTCTATTTGGCCATCAGTCAACAAAGTGTTCAGTTGTGAATCACTACATGCAACTTAACCTAAGTCAAAGGATTGTGATATTTTTTGCCTTTTTGCACAGAAAAAGAGAGCTTCAGTGGTTTACACCTTCAAAAAAGATCACAACTACTACCTTTAGATTCCCTTGACCATAACAAAGCCCTTTATTAAAAAAGGAACTGAAAATAGTGATACAAAATTGACAAAGAAACCTTTACAAGAAGTCATTCAAAAACCACAAGAGAAGTTATAGTTAGGTGGCATAAGGTAACCTATCTAGCAAATAAACAGTGAAGTGAGCACTACTATTTGAAGTAGTGCGTGAACATTTTTCTGCTCCACTAAATACGGTTCAAGATCAGATGTTACTTAAAAGGAACAAATGAAGATGATCATTCACCATTACACGCAAGAAGTGTTTTATGGATATTCTTTTCTGTCAATTAACTTTGTTGTTAGTCTGTTCTGTTGTTCCTCCCTCTAACAATTGTTAAGAAAACTCTTATTAAATCATTATTCTTGCTGTTTTTAATCAGTTATATGCATTGTGTTCATCTCTATCCATCATCCAGTTGGAAACCCTTCATGCCCTTGTCCTCTGTCTGGACCGTTTCTCTATTTCTTCTCATCCTCTTTCTTGCCCTCAGGTGGTTTAGTTCTGTTCTGGGACGCCAGAGAGCCCATGGCATTACGGATGGCTTCATTGTTGGGGTCGACTCCGGGAAGGTTCTCCAGCACACTCTGCAGAAAGTCTGGATCCTGCATCACATCGTAATCCTCCTCATCCTCCTACAGAACACACACAAAGAGTTTCAGTTGGGCACTTTCATGACATTGTGCCAGGTTGTATATGATTATGCATTTACCATGTGACAAATTAAAGGCAGTACCTAATTAATATGTAATTACTTTAAATATCCTATGCACATGGTATAGATTATCTGCTTCCTTAGACTCGTTATTACCAGTTCCATCTCAAATTGAAGTTTAGCTTCAGGTTCTCTTGGCAGAACTGGCATAAACCTAAATCTTCCTTTGACTTCTGTTGTCAGGATTCAAAATATAATCAACGGTGATATCATTATAACATCTGCATACTGAATTACTGTCTTTTTTGCATATATTTAATCACAGATTGCAACAGTGCCTGCTAACTTTTTCAATAGCCTTTGTTCCAAAGGTATTTTTCCCCATTCTTTTTTTTTATAGGGATTTTAATAGTCTTCGTTTAAGAGTTAGCCATGAACCAAACCAACCAGCTAAGAGGTGAATTACAACTTTAAAGTGGAGCAAAAACGAGGGAAAAACTACAGTCCCATGAGACATTGCGAATGACAATCTAATAAAAAAAAACGATGGAGAAAACTATTGATGTTGACGGCTTCAACAAAAGCATATACCATCAATTAACAACCTTGTGGCTCACAGTAGGTCCGTCTGTCTTTAAAGGGATACTCTACTGGTTTTTCATATTAAACTATGTTATTCCCTTAACTAAGACGAGTTGATACATACCTCTCTTGTCTCAGTGCGTGCACTAAATCGCTGTCTTGCGGCGAAACTTTGTTAGATCTTATCTCAGCCCTGTTCATTCAATACGTGCCAAGAAGAGAAGTGACCAAACACCTCCACGTTTTCCCTATTTAAATACAGTTACTAGAGTAGTGTAACTCGACCAAAGACGGTGACACAAAATAAAACGTTGCGCTTTTCTAAGCGTGTAAAATGGATAACTATATTGGCAGAATACCATAGCAAGTGCTTGGGAGCACTTCGACTCGGCGCAGTATTATCATCTCTCGTGAAAAGTCCGCTCCCGTTGAAATGAGAGGGAGGAGGGTAGGGAGCGGGGAGATGACTTTTCACGAGAGATGATATTACTGTGCCGAGTCGAAGTGCTCCCAAACACTTGCTATGGTATTCTGCCATACAATATAGTTAACAAAACAATACAAAACCAGTAGAGTATCCCTTTAAAGGTTTATAAGTTATCGTGAAAAATCAATTCCCCTATGGAGAAAATGACTTCCGGCACCCGACTGTTGAGACTGGCGTCTTTACACTGCATATATGCACGATTCCTCAATTAAAGTCGAGTACTCAATTAAAAAACAAATCCTTGATTGCAATTCACCCGTGTCGAGTACCCGGCAAAATACCGGAAATGGCACATTCCACGGACGAGAATCCATGAACCGCATTATTACACCGTTTTCTAAGGTTGCACGATATATTAAAACCATTTAAAATCATAATATAGCATACTGCTATTGTGAAATCACAAAGGCTGCGATTCAGTCAAATTAATATATATATGCTGTTTTGTTTTTCCCACAGAGAAGCATGACGCTACTCCAAACAAACTGAGTCTCTGCATGTGCTGTTTGTTTAGCTTTCCAATAACGTTCATTTGGGAACGCAAAAAGTCGGACGCGGTTTGTGTTTCATATTTGCATGCGTGAAGCCCGTCTCGGGTTTCTAAAAACTCCCTCTCTGCATTCATTTGAGTTTGGGTTGCTCATTACGTTCATCTAGGAACGCAGTGTGCGCCATCTCACAAGATTTGTAAAGTAGGTAACTCATTTGTAAATCTACGCCAACACAGGAGAATACATAAATATGTTTCTAAATATGCAAATTGTTGTTCATTGCAATTTCAAAATAAAAGTTTAAACCCTCGCTCTGAGTTTGCATGTTTTGATGTGCACATGTTCTTGTTCAAGAAATTACAGCAGCTGTTGCATTTCTATCGTACATAGGTGACCAAATATTAAAGATTAAAGAGGACATTTGAATTAAATGTTGTTTGGTCAATATTAAACAAGGATTTGATCGTGCCGTAGCCAACAACTAATAATAATCGGTAGAATACTATATTGCTAAATTAATCGATAGCTGCCAGCCCTAATATATGGCTTTGCATTCTACTCACAAATCTAATAACGTATTGTTTCTGTGATTCTGTTTTGTGTGGTTTTGACTCGCTTTATCACATTCAAAAGGCTTTTGAATGATGGGAATGAAGAATTTGCAGCTGCTTTTGATTATTCCCACAACATGACTGTGTTCGATCTAAAATTCTCATCTCCTCTCTATAAGAAAGCAGATCTGGTTGGAGGAAAAGAGCTGTGAAACGCACCTTAGGAGCTTCACTGTCGGCTGCTGCACTTGTTTCCACATCCATGGCCTCTGAACAGCCAAACTCTGTGCACAAAGACAAACATGTGGTTGTATAAAACAAATCAGATAAAAGGGGGTTGGTGACTAAGACAACCAAAAACAAGAAATTATGAAGAGTAATAAGCCTGACCTCCTCCTTGCATGGACATCTGTAGGGCGTATGCAATCTGTTCATCCTCCGTCATGCGGCTGAAATCGGGCATAGCGGGAGCCGTCGACATCTTCAGCAGGGCATTTTCAGACTCTAACACAAATACAGAAGACATCAGATCACATTAAACACAGACTTCTCATAAAACAATCTTATACGGTTAAAATACATATGGTTTCACTCTTCAATTTAGAGCATAGAGAAACTTTCCTTATACACAACTCAACAAATATGTTATGTTTTTCGGAGCGTGGTGTCGAGAAATCTCGGAAGCTTTCAGTAAAGCGCGTATCGAGGCTTCATTGATGACGTCAGAAGCCTCGCTTCGGCCTGACTGGTTCAGGAAGCGGTTCGAATATTGCCGCAACATTTATTACAGATATATAAACCCAAGGTTTAAACCCAGCCACTTTCCAGTTTTAGAATTATATTGCCCCTCCTGCCTATTATGACCAAATAATTGATTTACACACATTTAATAGCCCCATTCATTTCAAGCCAATACGTTTATAACACAGTTATGTTATTCAATAATTATTTACTACCAGAAAGTACATTATATTCATATACATAGATTAGTCTATGTGGAAATAGATTTGTTCTTCACCGTTATTTCTAAGCCTTAACTAGGGTGACCAAAAGTCCCGAAAAATTCGGGACAGTCTCGAAATCTAAGCTGTTGTCCCGAATCCCGAAACTGGCCTTAATTGTCCCCAAAATTATACTAAAGCAAAATCTTGATATAAAACATTAAAATCTGTCCGTGGAAGTTGAATCGTCCTGCAGCCAGCCCCCTCAAGTTGCAGCAGCCGTAGCTGCGAGGACAGTGAATGTGCAGGCAGTCAGTCTAAACTTGTTTTTTTACGCACGTCAATTTCGCTCTTGACACGCGAATGGATTCAAAGTGTTCACGCGTATAACTAGACGCAGTAGGCGCGAATTTGACGCGCTTTCGCGTCTGGTGTGAACGCAGCATTAAAGGAGTCATTAATTGGTCGCGTCACTGTGTGCAAAAAAATACTTCGGCCGGGCCTTAATGTCTGATGTCGGGTTACACTTGAAGCAAATCATCTACACAATTATTTAGTTTTCCTATTTAATGACCGACAATTTAGTTGTAATAATAATTTTGGCATAAGGCTTATTAGCGTTAGGCTACAGCCTGAAAGGTCTGATTTAGCCGGTGCACTGTTACAACAGTAACACTTCTTTTTTTTCACAATGACATTTGAGTTCATGATTTTAATGTTTTTTTTTTGTTTTTTTTGTTTTTGTGGCAGACAAAAGACTAATGACAGACTGTTGATCTTTGAATAAAAATATGTTTGGTTCAGGTTTGAACCAAAACATATTTTGAACCAAAACCAACCCCCTGAGATGAGGCTTCATCTCGCCACCTCTAGTGACATGATCCTTCAGAAATCATTCTAATATGCTGATTTGATGATCAAGAAATATTTCTTATTATCAATATTGAAAACTATTGTGCTGCTTAATATTTTGTGGAAACGGCACTAAATTTTTTCAGGATTATTTGATAAATGCCGTTCTTTTGAACATTGAACAACACAAATAATTTGTAACAATGCCAACATTTTCACTGTCATTTCTGATCAATTTAATCCATCCTTGCTGAATAAAAGTATGAATTTGAAAATGAAAGAATTCAAAGGTTTTGCGAGTGAATGGAAAAGCATTGACAATTTTTCTTCCCATCCCTAGATTTCTTTCTATCACCATGTCCTTTTAGGGGCTCCACTTAAACCAAAAACCCACAGCTACACTTGTCAGGGACACCGATGCGTCCACAAACCCCATGTGGTCCAATCCTCATTTAAACATGCCCCTCCTTCTCTCACCATCTGCAGTGGGTGATGACACTCCGACCTCTGCAGCTGAAGCCACTGTTACCCTGCGAGCTTCCTCCTCCTGCCTCTGTCTCTGCTCCTCCATCGACACACGCAGAGCCTGGAACAGAGACACAAACAGTTATAATCTGGAGCATTTCTAGCGGAGAAGTTTGTCCTGTGTGCTACTAACCAGAGCGAGCTCAGGGTCTGCGCTGGGGTCCACTCCAAACTCGAAGTCACTGGTACCCAGGCCAATGATGGTGCCACCCTCTCCAGCCATGATAGGAGAGGACAGAAGAGCATCTGCCAGGCTCGGGCCCGGAGGCACCGTTACCAGGTGAGAGCCTACACCCTCCTTTCCATTTAGGGTGTTCACAAACACGGTCAGCTTATCCGTGTTGACCTCCTAAAAGACAAAAAAACTAAGTAAATGACATGGAAAAAGAAGTAATTTCTTAAGACTGTGGTAAAGTACATTCCCACAGAATAAATGTTCACCTCTTCTCCAAAGTTAACAATGTCAACGCTGACTTTTTCCTTCTTCAAACGTTTTGCCATTTTCACCAACTGAGAGAGAGACAGGTCGGAGGCACAAATGAGAAGGTCACTAACACATTATATTGGCCTTTTTTCAATTCAAAATCATAGGGTAATGTTTACACCCAAGATGCATGAAGAAGAAAAAACACATATTTCTCACATCTTTCTCCAGGTCCTCCACAGGGCTTCCCACAAAAGCAATGATCCTCATCTTATGGTTCTTTCCCTGTCTGTGTTTCAATGCCAGCTGTGAAACAGTGAAGAGCAGAGAGAATCAGAAATATAAGCGTACAGATGACATTAAGAAAAGGTTATATAATAAAATAAAAAGAAAGACATATATAGAAAGAAATATCTATACATTTAACATTTTATTTCAAAAGATCAATAAGTATATACACATATATATATAATCTTTTGAAATTAGAAACAATAACTCCACATTTCTGTAACCTGAGGTTTGATGTTGATACTCATTTCACATGCAAATAGTTTATAAGAAATGATGTTCCTAAAAGGAAGATCATACAAATTTGAAAGTTACAGTAGCAAAAATCAAACAATTTCATTCTAAGGCTCAGACAAAAGGTGTCATCTAAAGTAAATTATGACCATTTTTGGTACAATAATTCATGGTTATAATTGTGGATCTTAGTGGCAAAATAAAAATTAGAATTGTGATGTGATCCGACCCACTCACATGTGCTACTCTGATGCCTGTACAGAAGCAGATGACTCCTATGGGCTGAACGGCATGAAGCTTCGACAGGATCCGGCCCGTGTCAGGGGTCAGTGTGGTCAGGACCTCACAGTTACTGAAACACACACAGTGGGTCTCTTCTATAGATTCTCTCATACACAATAATCCCACATTATACCTGTTAGTAGAATAAATAAAGTATAAAAAACACCATCCTACTTGGCCATAGTGATGAGCCCCACGTTGTTTTCTGGGTTACTCCGAGTTTTTGAATGACAGATGATGTTGACAGCGTCTTGCTGGGCCTGAAGTCTGGTAGGTAAGAAGTCTCCATTGCGCATATATTCACTGTTGTCCACACTAGAAATAATAAACACACACATATATAAATATTATATATATATATATATATATTAATATATATATATATATATATATATATATATATATATATATATATATATATATATATATATATATATATATATATATATAATTAATGTCCACTCAGCATACGAAGCATAATTCTGCACATATGCGTAGTTCTATTTAATATTTAAATATAAAATCTTGTTAATAAAAAGGCTGAGGACGTCATCCAGACTAAATAGTTTATTATGCTAGCAAATTGAAAGTAAAAAAGAAGGATTTTAAGGCCTATCTGGATAGTTATTTATACAAAAACCTATAACGTTAGTTTCAAGAAAATGAAACCAACAAACCCATTTACATTCAAAACTAATTCATCTAACTTAATAATAGGACAACTAAGACAACCTAACAATCGTAGCTATGAGCTTTCTAAGGGTTTTCCCTCATAACATGTCAACACAGAGAAGCTGTTTAACAAGCTGAGGTTCCATCATGACTAAGGAAAACCGCACATCTGTCATTCTGTTCAACACAACCGCTCTCTCAACTCCAATTCACAACACTTCACTGCACAATTGCGTAATATTTCAAACACATCACGTTTATCAAACTACATCTGATGTTTGAAGAATATAAAGTATTTTTTCTTACCAGACCATAGTACTTTCAAGCACCATCTTGAAAATGTTCTGTCGCTCTACGTGACGTAAGCACGTAAGTGAACCCTTATTGGTTAAAGTAGCGCTGATAGGAATCATGGGAAATGTAGTTCATAATGTGTTTTCTATAAATCCTCATTTAACTGTTCAACTGACACCAACTACTTTTAAAAAATGTAAAATATGTATTAGTTTCAAATTCTGATATAGGTTGCCATTTCAATTACAAATACAGCGTGTGCTGGTTAGTATTCATTGTAATTTTGGTAACACTTATAAACACAACATTAGTTAACTACATTATAATGAACTAACAATGAAAAATAGCATTTATTAATCTTAATTTCAACATTTATTAATACGTTAAAATGAACTTGAGCTAATATGACCAAACTATAAAGTCGCATTTTTATACAACTTTATTGTTAGTTAACTAACATTAAAGATAAATACTGTAACATAGATATTACTTGTTAATGTTAATTAATGCTGATTTGGTAATCAAAAATGATTTCTTACTAACTATCATCAGGGCATTTTCAGACTCTAACACAAATACAGAAGACATCAGGTCACATTAAACACTGACTTAAAAAACAGCATTACAGTAAAAAAAAAAAAAAAAAGTAGTAGTAATAGTAATACGGTGAAATATTATTACAATTTAAAATACCTATTTTCCATTTAATATACATTTTAAAATATAATTTATTACTGTGATGGTAAAGCTAAATTTTCAGCACCATAACTGCAGTCTTCAGTGGAGTTTTTGTTAATGTTATTTAATGGATTGGTTTAGAAAAAAAATATATTTTAAAACCACAGCAATGGTTTGGAAAATATTTTATTCTTTTTAAATCAGAAAGACAATGTGAAAAAACAGAATCACCACATCACTGAAAGATGGTAGGAGAAACAGGCTGCAAACACCACACAAGAAAAAGGCATTTCCGTGACTTGCTTATATACATATTATATACACGTTTTATACAGGCCAGGTAAAAATATAGTCCTCAAAGCACTTACGGTTGCCAGTGTTGTTCCTGACACCGCCAGACATTCATAAGTAGAAAAGCTGAGGAAGAGCTTTCACAGATTTAGAATGAATAGGAATATTTTACCTTGGACACAAACAAATAAAATACAAAAATGGTTTATATTGTCAAAAACTTCCCTCAGACCCAAAATAAAATACATACTAAAGATTATGTAATACATACAATCATCTAAGGTACATAGAGAATTCAAAATACAGATCGAGAAAGTAAAAAAGAAAAACAAGACATTTCTTAATAAATACAATCACTGAAATACATTGGCGGAAACGTTCATATTGCAGTAGGTTGGTTGGTCTGTTTAGTGTCAGAGTTGCCAGCATGTAATCTGATGTGTCTGTTGTGCAAATATCTGTTTCACTGTATTAATACAAAGACTGGACAAAGCCCTACATGAACCAAAGCGTAAAGAATACCGGTCTCTGTTTGCCTGCTCACAATGCGTTATTTACGATCTTTCATTCGCATTACGCATTGTCAGGTCAAAAGTTTCACTTTTGGGATATTTAAGATGTTTTAGTGTGGTTTCTAGCCTGTAAGAATAGATAAATCAGTATTAAGTGTTGGTCAGAGAAAGGCAGTTATTTTTGCATCTTGAGACCATAAGCACAAATGAATAAATAACAGAAACATAAATGAGAGAGGCCTGAATTGTGAAGATCCCAGAAAACTACACAAGCCAACTGTGAGATTAAGCCACTGAGAGCTGATCCAAGATCAGTTTATGGTTTAGGAATTTCAGAACCTCAAAACTATAAAAGAAGATGCATCATACAGAGCAGATACAAGCACCACATTGGAAAGTGAAATGAATACAAACATTGTGTGCAATATTAGTTTTTATAAAAGTAACTTCATTATATAGACCCAATATCCTTCAACAGAGAGGCGATACAAATTTACTATAAAATGTACAAATGTTAATCAGGGCATTGTTAATCTTATTTTATTTACTGTAGGACTCGAGTTAAATGTGAATCTAGGTAACTTTTCACAAAATTCACAAATAATCCATAAAGTTTAGAAACGCTGTAAAAACCTTGTGTGACCAAAACCAGTAAAATCCACCAGACTGCTTATCTTTGTTTTTCATATCAGCGCCAAAGCAAATCCTGAAATGTGTACTTTCAGAGGACAACTGTGAGTTTAGCTCTAGCTTTTTAGTGATATTAGCTTGTCCTGGGGTTGATTGTTTCCCCGCCCTAGATAAAACGGTATTGTGAAGCATTAAGGTGCATTATCAAAATGTTCTGTAACATGATCTGACAAAGACTTGAACAATAGACATTGAAATGATTCAAACCAAAAGACAAGAAAAAGACCCAAACCAAACTTCTGTGCACAAGTATACATTGTCATAATATAAAATACATTAAACATAGAATATGCATAAATACTGCATCCACTGTGAAGCTCTATAGGTTTCTTCAATACAGACTGTCAATGTACTTCCTGTGCATATTCTATCTGCATTTTCTTCAGGTCTGTAAAGACAAATCCTTGGCGAACGATCCCTTCGCTTCAACACTTGTGTGATTTTAAGAGCTGCAGTTCACCGACTGTTTTATTTGGGACAACACAACACTGTTCAAGCCTACAGTCAGCCCTTCTTCTAAGTACTTCAAGACTGCATTGTCAGTCTCAGATCTGTGTGTGGCAGAGGTATCAGGGCCGTGAATCGGCCAAAGAGAAACTGTAAGTAATGCCTGTCAACCAATGGATCCATTAACAACTACTTCCTCTGTTAAAACGATCCAAATGGGTGTGATAACAGAAAGGCAGATTCATCAGAGAGCTTGTAGTGAGCCGCAGTTTTCTTTCCAGCTCCTCTAAAGTGTTCACATGTGCCCTGGTAAAGTCCATTTTTTTTCTTTGCTCAGTTTAAATTATTATTTATTCTCAGGGCGAGTCTAACTACAACTGTTGAACAGATTTAACATCCCCTCAACTAGAAATCAGCTGTGAATATTCTCAAGACTTCTTATATACCGACAATATGACGTTAGAATGTAAATTGAGTCTACATTCCTGATATTCAAATAGCTGAAAGGCTTTTCAGTCCTGTCTACACATTATAGGACTGTGTATAATGCTAGAAAACAAATAGGTTTGTATGAAAAGGCCAGAAAGCATGCACTGTGTAACGAAAACATCTGTAACAGGGAGATCTGAAATGACTTAAGCAGATCCATGTTGGTCCGAGGGATTTCTGTAACCAGCAGAAATGAGTGTTTTCATACCAACGCGCTGCTTTCAAAAGCCGCATTAAGGCGGATGATCGGAAGACGTCATGGCACATCGATCAATCAGTCAGTCTATTCATTAACATGTTTGTTAAAAGACAAGAGCTGCTGTGCTGGAAGAGCACATTCGTAGCGTTTTATACATGTACAGGAACACAGAATGAATAATTATTTACAGAACTATATACAGGAATACAGTACACTAATATTACGGGGCCCTTGGCAAGGCAGCAATATGTGCATTAAAACTAGAATATGACATGCATGCGGATCCGTCCATTTCTCAACCTTGACGGTTGATTGGTCCAATGTGGAGGGGCAACTTGCAATGGGCGAATGCAAAAGACAGATGCATAGAGACAATTATATTTGCCAAACAAAATATCTAAATCTACTTAGTGGCACCTCAAAGAAGGCAATTGTAAAGCAACTAACCATGAAATACTAAGCCTGAATGCGGCGTAATTAGAAGATACAAAGCTATTTTATCTGTGACACTCAAACGCATTTATTTTTTTAAAAGTGGGAATCATTTTTGGTCGGTTTTCCCCTATTTTCTTTTTTTTTTTGTCGCTCTAAGGGCACATGCTGTCTCGACACAGAAAGAGCTAGAAAAACGATGCTCTCATCAGGTTTACTCAAAAAGAATAGTCATAAAAATGAACCTTCATAATGTATTCACAGAACGCCACTGAGAAATAGAAGTTGCCTGCTTATCTCCAACAGAACGCCTTCTGAGATAAACACACTGGAGCGCTAGCAGCCGTTACTCCAAGTCACACCAGTTCAGAGAGAATCAAAAAGGTTTACAGACCTATATAAATAAAGATTTATGCAACATAGGATAATATAAAGTGGTGCCAACTGTGTAACACGTTTTTTTCTCCCAGCACTAGCCAGGCAAAGAGAACTAAAATTGGTTTGTGCATCCTGCTTGCCCTGTTTTAAAAGTTTAAGAGAGAGAGGCAGTAAAGAATGTGACTGAGATCGTAACATCCCTTTTCCAATAACTTTGTGTAAAGTTTGTGGTTAAAACTGGTTTTAGCAGCATTTCCCTGTGCAAGAGAAAGAGAAAAAGCCATCAAAGCTCCTCGCTCAATGGCTTTTCTTCATTCCCTGTTTCTCACTCACTTTTAAAACACACTTCATTGTGCCGAGGATGTTGAGTTCTTTCCCAAGCTCCCACTGAGAGAAAACTGCCATCATAGCAGTGCTCATAGCATAGCCCTTCGTCTCTCTTGAGTTTCTGTGTGTCCATCTCTCGCTTAAATGCTCTGCTCCTGTGTCTTCAGTCATCGCTCTGCTCTTACTGGAAACAAGCAATATGGTCTTTAATAAAATCATATTTCTGGCTCAATGAAATTATTTGGAGTTTATATACAACTTACAAAACAAATGTCAGTCTCTGGGATGATGTCTTTGAGCGAAATGGCATCTTCGTTGCTTAACTGCTCATCTAAGCATTCGGCTCCAGAGCTAAAGAAGAGAGCGAAAGATGAAGGATTGGTCTCTCTTTATACATTTATTATACAAATACTAGAATTTTGTCATTATATACCACCCTATTGTTCGAAACACATTCACAAAGTTTGAGGTTGGTAAGACTTTTGAATGTTTTTAAAATAAGTCTCTTAAGCTCACAAAGGCTGCATTTATTTGATCAAAAATACAGTAGAAAAACAGTGTGAAATATTATTACAATTTAAAATAACTGTTTTCTATTTCAATATATTTTAAAATGTGATTTATTCCTGTAATGGTAAGGCTGAATTTTTACTC